TGCTGGAAACTGTATGGCTTTAGGGTAAATAACGTGCATGCCGTCTGTGCCAAAGTCAATTAAAACTGATGATATATCTGTTTCGTACATTTGGGTTCGACGGAACTGAGGCCAAAAAGGTGTCTGAGTGTCAAGTGTCTGAGAGTCTAGTGTCTGAGTATCTTGTATCCGAGTGTCCAGTGTCTGAGTGTCTAGTGTCTGGATGTCTGAGTGTCTAGTGTCTAGTGTCTAGTGTTTAGTGTCTGAGTGTCGAGTGTCGAGTGTCGAGTGTCGAGTGTCTAGTGACGAGTGTCTAGTGTCTAGTGTCTGAGTGTCGAGTGTCTGAGTGTCTAGTGTCTGGATGTCTGAGTGTCTAGTGTCTAGTGTTTAGTATCTGAGTGTCGAGTGTCGAGTGTCGAGTGTCTAGTGTCTGAGTGTCGAGTGTCTGAGTGTCTAGTGTCTAGTGTTTAGTGTCTGAGTGTCGAGTGTCGAGTGTCGAGTGTCGGAGTGTCTAGTGTCTAGTGTTTAGTATTTGAGTGTCAAGTGTCGAGTGTCGAGTGTCTAGTGTCTGAGTGTCGAGTGTCTGAGTGTCTAGTGTCTAGTGTCGAGTGTCAAGTGTCGAGTGTCGAGTGTCTAGTGTCTGAGGGTCTAGCGTCTGAGTGTCTAGTGTCGAGTGTCGAGTGTCAAGTGTCGAGTGTCGAGTTTGGAGTGTCTAGTGTCTGAGTGTCTAGTGTCTGGGTGTCTAAGTGTCAAGTGTCTGAGAGTCTAGTGTCTGAGTGTCTTATATGCGAGTGTCGGAGTGTCTAGTGTCTAGTGTTTAGTATTTGAGTGTCGAGTGTCGAGTTTCGAGTGTCTAGTGTCAGAGTGTCGAGTGTCTGAGTGTCTTATGTCTAAGTGTCGAGTGTCGAGTGTCGAGTGTCGAGTGTCAAGTGTCGAGTGTCGAGTTTCGACTGTCTAGTGTCTGAGTCTCTAGTGTCTGAGTGTCTAGTGTCTAGGTGCCTGAGTGTCAAGTGTCTGAGAGTCTAGTGTCTGAGTGTCTTATATCCGAGTGTCGGAGTGTCTAGTGTCTAGTGTTTAGTATTTGAGTGTCAAGTGTCGAGTGTCGAGTGTCTAGTGTCTGAGTGTCGAGTGTCTGAGTGTCTAGTGTCTAGTGTCTAGTGTTTAGTGTCTGAGTGTCGAGTGTCTAGTGTCTGAGGGTCTAGCGTCTGAGTGTCTAGTGTCGAGTGTCGAGTGTCGAGTGTCAAGTGTCGAGTGTCGAGTTTGGAGTGTCTAGTGTCTGAGTGTCTAGTGTCTGAGTGTCTAGTGTCTGGGTGTCTGAGTGTCAAGTGTCTGTGAGTCTAGTGTTTGAGTGTCTTATATCCGAGTGTCGGAGTGTCTAGTGTCTAGTGTTTAGTATTTGAGTGTCGAGTGTCGAGTGTCTAGTGTCAGAGTGTCGAGTGTCTGAGTGTCTAGTGTCTAGTGTCTAGTGTTTAGTGTCTGAGTGTCGAGTGTCAAGTGTCGAGAGTCGGGTGTCGAGTGTCGAGTGTCGAGTGTCGAGTGACGTCGAGTGTCGAGTGTCTGAGTGTCTAGTGTCTGGTGTTTAGTGTCTGAGTGTCGAGTGTCGAGTGTCAGAGTGTCTAGTGTCTGGGTGTCTGAGTGTCAAGTGTCTGAGAGTCTAGTGTCTAAGTGTCTTGTATCCGAGTGTCCAGTGTCTGAGTGTCTAGTGTCTGGATGTCTGAGTGTCTAGTGTCTAGTGTTTAGTATCTGAGTGTCGATTGTCGAGTGTCGAGTGTCTAGTGTCTGAGTGTCGAGTGTCTGAGTGTCGAGTGTCTGAGTGTCGAGTGTCTGAGTGTCTAGTGTCTAGTGTTTAGTGTCTGAGTGTCGAGTGTCGAGTGTCGAGTGTCGAGTGTCTAGTGACGAGTGTCTAGTGTCTAGTGTCTGAGTGTCGAGTGTCTGAGTGTCTTGTGTCTGGTGTTTAGTGTCTGAGTGTCGAGTGTCGAGTGTCGAGTGTCTAGTGTCTGAGTGTCTAGTGTCCGAGTGTCTAGTGTCTGAGTGTCTTGTATCCGAGTGTCTAGTGTCTGGGTGTCTCAGTGTAGTCCTATTATTTGATACCCATATTGTGGTGGTTGTGGAAAAATATGTACCTAGTCCGCCATATTGGAACGGCGTCCATCTTGAATTTTAAATTTTGACATAATCATCGTGTTTTACTAGTGTAGCCCTTTCATTTGATACCCATATTGCGGGGGTTAAGGAAAAATATGTAATCCGCCATTTTGTATCGGCGGCCATCTTAGATTTATAATGTTATTGATTTTATTATATTGTATTGTCATCTGAATTAAATGTGTGTACCAAATTTCAGATCAATCTGACAACGGGAAGGTGCTTAAATTCCAATTTCTAATTTTGACCCAAATAAATAAATACCGTACAGGTCGAGCTAAATAAAACCGTTTAATTATGAAAACTATTGAGGTCAGAAGGGGAAAAATGTTAGGACACTTGGTACGACACGACGAACTTTATGATAGATGGTAAGATAGAAGGAAGGAGGGGAGACCAAGACATAGTTACATTAGGCAGATCAAGATATTTGGCTAAGCGCGAAAAAGAGAGTCCAATTTACATTACATTACATTACAGGCAGATCAAGGAAAAAGTTGGTGTCGTGTCATATCAAGAGGTGAAGAGGCTTGCTGAAAATCGTAATTAAATATTCATTCATTCATTTATTCATTCATTCGTAGTAAGTGGCAAAAGCTCCATCAATAAAAGCGCAGCTCTTAAATAAGATATAAAAAAAATTAATACGAAATAAATTCGTTGAACCATTGAGGCGTGATAACGGAACATGCATATTTACCACTTTCCTTTATAACATTAATTCGATATATTTTATATGTATTATATTACTGGAATTCGCTAATTAATCTCCTTGATCAATTAATTTATTTCGACTCGTTCACAACTGTGTGAACTGGTTATGTGAATCCGTTAATTTTGATCTAGGTCAGTTAAAAAGTTGCCAACCACTGGCTACTGTGTCACTAGTGTGACCGTGTGACCGTCACGTGAATAACCTACATGTGTGCATAATCGATTTACGCGCGCAATGTACTTCGCTTGTCCTTATTATCGAAGTATAGTAACATCGCATTTATCTGTCAATTTAAAAAAATAATTGTACATTTTTCAATGTTTCTGATTGGTTTGTTTTAAAAACAGAGCACGCTAGTGAACCAAAACGTCTATCATAAAATAAAGAGCATAAATGAATGAATGAATTATAACTTTATTTGTCTGAATATAGGATATTACGTTACAAGTATTTAATGTTAAAAACAGAATCATAGTGTGGCGTGTAAATATTTCATTTAGAACATGTCCTTAAAATTATATATTAAAATATAGTGAATCATATATAAATCAAATCAATAAAAACTTTACATCTACTTCATATTTTACTTCAGAATTTTTCAAATACATTTTTTACTGAACTAGATGTTAGGTATATTGCGGAATTCTATATCGCTGGTTAGTTGATTAGAGTTATTTTATTTAATTCCGCTACCATGAGTATGCGTGCGACTGCCGACATTCGAAGATTGATTACTGTTATTATCACCAGAAGTTCTATAACCTTCTATGATAGTCATTAATCAACAAAAAAAAAGCTAATAAAAAAAAAACACACACATTTGATATCAAATTCCAAATTTAAAGTGACAGGTTATAAACAATGTTATTGCATGATTAACGTTTTAATTCTCTAGCAGAGAACCTTTCAAATGATTAGCCAGAATGTTTATGGTCAGAATAATTGAAAATTGTTTGTTTTTTTTTAAATTGACAGATAATAGGGACAAGAAACACAGCCACACTTCAACAAGCCAAAGTTATGAACGCTCCGAACAAAGTCGGATGAGTAATGTGTATCTATAAATATATATATTGTCAAAATCTATATACGGGTGGATATACCTACACGACACCGCGTTCTAATTTCAAGCCTTTAATTGCCCATTGCAGAAGATAAGCCTCCCCCTTGGGGAGTTTTGACAGTAGCTACCATGCGTAGTAGCAGATTGGCAGCCGCAGTTAGGCTTTGGAGATGTTTTAAGAGGGACGCTGCTGCCCTTCTTTAGTGAAAGCGGCGACTTATTCTATGCCGGGACCATACGTTGTGTATATATACTTACAACAAAAAGGATAATGCTCCTTCTTGTATTTTTTTAATGGATGATAATGGAATGGTAACCCCGCCTGCGCTAACGGTATACGCTGACAAGGCACTGGTGATACATGATAGGTGAGAATAAAAAGGTGGGTAAGTTTTTTTTTTAAATAGGTGATAATAGAATGCTAACGCTGCCTGCGCTATCGGTATACGCTGACGGGTCACCAGTGATATAGGTGATGATGAAAGTAGGTCACTTAGTACATCGTGACGAATTTCACTAGAATTAACCACGATTGTTTCCAGGGGGAACCGCATGGAGGTCGACTTGATAGCGTGTATTGCTAGCAATAAGTCAATTAGACCTTATTACTGACAATCCCTTCTCCCCAAGCGGGTCAGTTAGCGCATTGTGATGAATACATTTAAAATTTAGCACGATGGTTTCCAGAGGGAACCACGTGGAGGTCGACCTGGTTGGGTATATTTCTAGCGACTAAGGGCCCCATTGGCCTTTAGTCTCCATGATTAACAATCCCCACCACATTGTCATTACCCTCTGTCCCATTCGTGTTTCAACCATGAAGCAGTTGTGTTTGTATGGCTGTGTTTCGGTTTGAAGGATGGGATATTGCGTGAATTAACTGGGTACAGAGGAATAACACCTGAGTCCTCAGGAATGGCAACGCATGGGGGTATCATGGGCGAAACAGTATACTCTGTTATGTCCATGGTACTGCTCATGTCTATAGGCGACGGTTACCACTTTCCATAAGGTGTACTGTCTGCTTGTTTGCCATTCAAAGTTGCATAAAAAAAATGTGTTAGGTAAGATTAGGATGAGAAATTAAAACAATATTAGTAATTACTCTAAACTTATATATTAACGGTAATAGTAAGTAGGTTGTTTTTTCTTGTTCGATTTTGAACAGCATACAATGGTTGAGAACACCATTGAGATCAGCTGAAAATAAAAAAATAAAGTTCATTATAACAGTTCGAGAGATTCTTATAAGTAGTAGCTACTTAGTTATTATACAGGGTGGAGGAGACCGGTTGGCCAAAACGAAAACAGCTGATTCAGACGAATGGTTTGAATCAGATGGCAGTTTATTTTCCCATCTGATACGCACCACAGCCATATAATTAACGATTCATAGTATTGACGCCGCGCAATGTATTTGAAATATTACGATACACACGACGCGCGATACATATAGCGCGTACAATACTACAGGTCAATGGCGCTTCTTCGTAAGTAGTTTTCGTACGCTCGTGGCGTTGACTTTACTCAGCTGGTTCCGCGCGTCGTGGTAAGTTTTTTATACGAATATTACATTGCTGTTTTGTGTTTTTCATAGTATTTCATTATGAAATATTATTATTTCTTTATATTATGACATAATATCATAGACTACATGATTATAAATGAAAAAAAAAAAATAGGAAAATGACGATATAGGAAGGAAGGTGACAAATACCGTAAGAATTAATCAGAATAATTTCCAGGAGGAACAGCGTGGAGGTCGTCTGGATAGATCATATTGCTAGTAATGGAGCTATTAGACAAAGAGACAATAAAAAATTTGATAAAATATTATAGGTTGACGAGACATTTCGCATTTTCATGAATAAAAAGTTTATTTATATTACTAATAGTAATTTATTTAAGGATATTACTCATTTATTGTTTGTTATCTTTAAATATACTTATAGCTTCTTGTCGAACGTCCATAATGATAGATTAAGACAATTTCCTGTTTTTTTTCTTATACCTACATGGATTTTTTAAATAGGTGAAAATGGAATACTAGGTGTACGAAATGACGGGACACTTAGGGTAGATGACAATGGTGTTACATCAGTTAGCCCATTGTGGCGAATGAACTATTGTTTTAAGAGATATTGATTTAATTCATTTGAGAATATTGAACTATTTTATTTTATTTTACTACTTATATAATGTTGTAGTGTTATGTTTTATTGTTTCGAATAATGCATGTAATTTGATTAAACATTATTATATATTGTATATTTATGTAATTGGACATAGAGAAAGATCCATTTAGTAGAGGGTCGGTTTACACTGCGTTTGCCTGTACGGGGTTGCCACTCAAGAACCTATCTTCCTCATCAGTTGTCGGTTCTTCGAGCTATGTAACCAGCCCATTGGTGATAGCTCGAAGCAAAAGCAAGCGGAAGCTGCTTATTCTTCGGACTATGTCGGTCACTTTCTATGTTACATACACATAATTACTATCATCATCATCATCATCATATCAGCCTTTAAATGTCCACTACTGAACATAAGCCTCTCCCTTGGGGGGTTTGGCCAATAACTGTTGTTGCTTCTTACGACATCCAAGGGGAAAGGAGGGGGTGATCCATTCTATGCCGGTATCTACACGGCTAATTATGATTATTATGTAGCTGATGAAATAGAATATAGATTAATATGACCTTTTCTTACCTCTACACCTATTATCCCCAAAAATACATACAATGTAATGCGTATGGACTTTTCGAATATTTCAACAATGATGTCCAAACATCCATCGAAAGCTTTGTCTCTAGTGCATTCGTATTCGCTTATATCTATGTCCCCAATATCTTCGATGTCGTTTATATCTGGTAAATTCTCCAAGTCCAGGTCACAGCATGTCGGCGGTAAGTATTCTTGGTAGTCGGGCATGTGATCATAGGACGCGGAGCCGTTTAGCCCGCAGCATTTGAACTGGAATTAAACGTTTCTGGTTTTAGCACCAAATTTTTTTGCCAAAAACCTTTCAAACAACGACTTTCATATAAAGTCTTCTTGTTTTTCTTCTTTTCTTCTGATAAATCGTTTGATTATTATTTTATTGGTTTAGTAAAACTAAATGCGTTCTTTAATTTGAGATTGTGAATCTTTTAAAGTTTGTAAATTGCTAGATAGGTCATTGAAACTTTCAAGAAAAGAGCATCATCATCTCAACCATTATCTGTCCACTGCTGAACGTAGGCCTCCCCTACAGACTGCCATAAGAAACGGTCCTGAGCCACCTGCATCCACTGACTCCCTGCAATGCATTTGAGGTCGTCGCACCATCAGTGGGTGATCATTTCACACTGTCTTTGCCTGTGGGCCACTCGAAAACCTTTCTTTCCCATCGTTTGTCGGTTCTTCGAACTATGTGACCAGCCCATTGTTACTTCAGTTCCAAGGAAAAGAGCATATTCCATCCTAAAAGGCTGGCAATATACCTGCAATTTTTTACTTACTTTCCATCTTTAATCAATCAAATTAGTTTGCTCCTGTTATTAAAAAAAAAAAAGTAGAAAAAAAATTCGTAAATAACTCACTGTTAATTCAATACCATGGAAATTAGTGTTACTGCCATTATCAAAACTATTTGTTACGGTATTTATAATAAATTCTGTGTCAAATAGTTTGAACAACAGTACCGCCAAAATTATTTTCAGTGCAGCCAATATCAGCATAACGATAGAGAACTAAAAATAGAAGACGTTTTTGTAACATTATATAAATCATGATAAAAAGTTTAAAATCAATCAATATTATTTTTAAAACTTATATTTATTTTTTAACATTGTCTATATATGTATAACGGTAATTTTCGATCGACTTCAAAAAGAAAAATTTTCAATTCGGTTGTATTTTTTTTTTTATATTTGTTACTTCAAAACTCTGTCAGTTCTAAACCGATTTAGAAAATTCTTTTTTATCTGAAAAAATATACTTATAGATTAGTTCCATAGAAACTTTATCAAAAGGACTGCTTTAGTTACAATTGAAGTCGATTTTTTTGTGGGATTTTTAAATAAATTTACTATGTTTGTAGTTTTTTTTTTATACAACTTACGGACGGCCCACCTGATGGAAAGTGGTAACCGTCGCCTATAGACATGAGCAGTACCATGGACATAACAGAGTATACTGTTTTGCCCATGATACCCCCCATGCGTTGCCATTCCTGAAGACTCAGGTGTTATTCCTCTGTACCCAGTAAATTCACGCCATATCCCATCCTTCAAACCGAAACGCAGCCATGCAAACACAACTGCTTCACGGTTGAAACATGAATAGGACAGAGGTATCCAAGCAATTGACTTTTGTACAAAGTCTCCCTCTGGCAATAACTTCGACTTCATTACGAAGCGTCACAGCGCCCCCTGAAGAAGACTTTTGTATGAAGTTGATACAATTGTCGGAAACTATAAATATAGTTAAGTTCATAAAGTTCCCGTTATACATATATGTAGATAGATAATATATTCTATCTCCCAATATAATATAATATAATTAATTTATAAAAAGGTCTGAATATTTAAAATGTGTTTATATACAAAATAATGAATTGACAGAAAAATGTAAATATACGAACAGATTTTTTGTTGTTTTTTAAAAGATAAATCTGAATTTTAATAGAAGACTACAACTATACTATAATATATATAATAATAATGTCTATAGGCGACGGTTACCACTTTCCATCAGGTGGGCCGTCAGCTTGTTTGCCATTCTAAGTCGTATAAAACAAAAAATAACACAAATTTATTTTTGATATTAACAGTGTACTTTCACTTAATACTTTTTGTTTTATTGTAATGTTGTTTTATGATATCTTCTTGTTATGTATAAAAAAAATATTCAATACAATGTAATATTGTTATAAATAAATTGAATCGAATTGTTTACATAATAACACAGAATGCATTTTAATTTAATCATTTTTGTTTTATACACGAAACAAACAGTATAATAACATAAATATATAATAACCAATAAAATTTCCACTAATCACTGTTACATACTTACTTTTAATTTATTTGAATGTAGTAGGTATGTCTAAAATTAATTGGTCATTAAAAAACCTGCGCATGGGCCAACGCCATGCATATTTGTCATTCAAATAATCGTTTAGTGTGTGTGTGTTTTATTCAATAAGTACTTTTTTTTTAATAATAGTTTTAAATTTATTGATAAGTAGATCTAAAATATCAATATCTTATATATAAAATTCTCGCGTCACGGTGTTTGTTACCAAACTCCTCCGAAACGGCTTTACCGATTTTTATAAAATTTTGTGTGCATATTGGGTAGGTCTGAGAATCGGCCAACATCTATTTTTCATACCCCTCAATGATAAGGGTGACCCTCCCCAATATCTTTTTTTTAATGGACTAAAAAAATATTCTCCAAATAATGTATATGGCAAAACAACGTTTGCTGGGTCAGCTAGTTTTATTACATTTAATGTCCGTTCCATTGTCTAAGGTTCCATATTATATATTTTACTAAACTTTATTTTATGCATATGATGTGTATGCCTGATTCTACAATGTGTAATTTATTGCTTAAAAGATGGGGAGAGATATATGTTCTTCACAATATAAATGAAAATATTTCATCATTTTCTAAACGATATGTGACGATATGTCTAGACGTGTCTATTGGACAACTGTTAAAAAAGAATTTTTTAGACTGTGATATATTTTTTTTTTGATGGGTGAAAATGGTATGGTAACTCCGCCTGCGCTAACGGGATACGCTGGCGGAGCACCAGTGAAGGGTGATAGATGAGAATGAAAACAGGCCAGTTAGCCCATCATGATGAATTCATCAGGAATTAAACATGATAGTTTCCAGGGAGAACCGCGAGGAGGTCGACCTGGTTGGGTATATTGCTAGCAATGGGATTCTCAGTCTCCATTACTAACAGTCCTTTTCCCCTCCTACTGTGATATATTAATATCACAGTCTAAATATAAAAATACAGATTACATTGGCAATGAATTCTCACCGATACAAGAAGACATTGGGACTCGGTAATAGCTCCACAGCACCCACAGAACGAGATGAGGAACAAAATTCCACCTAATATTATGATTGTTACAGATATACTCGTAGGTATTTCCGTTGGTACGTCCGCAAATAATTTCGTATGTATTTCCGTGAGATTTTCCGGTAAGTTTTCATTCGTTAAAAATTCCAGTAATATTTCCGGAGATACTAGAATTATCACTCCAATTGCAATAACAGCGAGGCCGATTAACTGTAAAAAAAAAATTTGATGGCTATTCACAAAAAAAGTCGAATTTAATCCTGGCAAGATAAATTATTATGACATAAAAAAAAACAATTCTTTTGTTTTAAAAACGAAACTAATGGCAGCTGGCAGCTATATTATTACAAAAAAAAAATGCAATCACCTTTTTGACAGGTGGATAAAATAAGACAAGTGTTTACGTCTTTAGCCGACTTCAAAATCGAAAGAGGTTCTCAAATTGGTTATATATTTTTTATTATGTTGTACCTCAAAACTGCGTTCTTTATATATCTATATGAAATAAAAATATTTTGAATAAAATCTATTTGTATTAAAAAATCTAATGTATCTACTAAACATCTAGTCGACCGTATGTACGAGTGGTTTGTGATGATAGATTGATTTTTCATGATGATTTTTGTGAATTTAAATTAAATAATTTTATTAAATTAGAACTCGGAAGTAGATATTGTTTCACAAGTAAAACTAACTTTTTTTTTTATACAACTTAGAATGGCAAACAAGCTGACGGCCCTCTGATGGAAAGTGGTAACCATTGCCTATAGACATGAGCAGTACCATGGACATAACAGAGTATATTGTTTCGCCCATGATACCCCCCATGCGTTGCCATTCCTGAGGACTCAGGTGTTATTCCTCTGTACCCTGTAAATTCACGCCATATCCCACCCTTCAAACCGTAACACAGCCATGCAAACCCAACTGCTTCACGGTAGAAACACGAATGGGACAGAGGTGCCCAGCTTCAATTCAATATCAATTATTTTGATTTAAAAATTAATCGATTTTGATGGTATACTCTGTTATGTCCACGGTACTGCTCATGTCTATAGGCGACGGTTACCACTTTACATCAGGTGGGCCGTCAGCTTGTTTGCCATTCTAAGTTGTATAAAAAAAAAGTAGAATTGGAGTACTAATGATGAAAATTTTAAATTTCCTTATTTAAACTAATCAGGTACACTCTACTTACCGAGAATATGAAATTCACGAAAAACAAAATATATTTCACTAAAAATGCCAAACACATTTTTGATTTTTTTTTGCCACTGTTAAAACACGAGAGGTTGGATAAACACTAATATGTATTATATTTTGCTTCATGCAAAGATACAGATATGATAAGAGGTAATTAATAAGATAACGTTATACATATATCGAGTATCGATCGAGTATCCAATGTTGTATGGAATGTTACTAATATTACTAAAATTGTATTTATTTATTCATTAGTACGTGTAGTAGTTGTATGTGTGTATGTCCCGGCATAGAATGTGCCACCTTTCCCGTGGGTGTCGTAAGAGACGACTAAGGGAGCTTATGGTGAAACGATGGGCAGTAGCGTCCCCCTTAAAATGTCTGTAAAAGTCTAATTGCGGTCGCCAACCCGACTGCCAAGCGTGGCAACTACTGACAAAACTCCCATTATGGGGATGGCTTATGTTCAGCAGTGGACAGTAAACGGCTTAAATAATAATAACATGTAGAGGGAAAGAGATTGTTAGTAATGGGGACTAAAAATCCCATTGCTAGCAATATACCCAACCAGGTCGACCTCCTCGTGGCTCCCCCTGGAAACTATCATGATTAATTCCTGTGGAATTCATCATGGTGGGCTAACTGGCCTGTTTTCATTCTCATCTATCAGCCTTCACTGGTGCCCCGTCAGCGTATCCCGTTAGCGCAGGCAAGGTTATCATTCCATTTTCGTCCACCAAAAAAAAAAATAACATGTATGTGTACAAGGCAGACTTAATGCTAAAAGCATTCTCTCCCAGTCAATATTAGGAAAGTGTTAGAATAATAGAACGTGGTACTAGTAATAATTGATATACATACTTACTAAAATTTACATATACGGTGAAAGGTGGCACCATCGCATCGCTCATCATCGGTAGGGAATCAATCTTCACCTTAGAACCAGAATGGTCATGCACAGTGCGATTTCAGAGGAGCTTCCTCCTGCAAATACTCAGGCTGTGGAATGATCTTCCTGCCGAGGTTTTCTCTAGATACTACAGCATGTGGTTCTTCAAAATTGGCGCATTATGGTTCCTTAGCGATTGGCAACGCTCGCGTGACGTCACTTAAGTTACAGGCGTCCATAGGCTATGGTATGGTAATCCCGTTTGTAACCAAAGTAGTATAAAAAATATATAAACAAAAAGATATATATCAAAAGAACACCAGAGGCATTGCAAGTATACTTCCCGTCTTTTAAAATGGAATATGCTCTTTACTTGAAGGTTATGATGTCGTATCGGTTTAAAAATACTGCAGCTGCAAGTTGATTGCAAACAGTGGTTGTGTGTGGAAGAAAGTGCTTTGAAAAGCGCATAGTGTAAGATACATATAATTTTAGATGTCAATATTATGTATGTAATCCAAATATTTCCATTATAATGTATGTATTATTGAATTCCGATAATAACACGAATGGTAGTAATAAACATAATTATAAAAATAGTAGGTATTGTTTTATCTAATCGCTCAATATATTCCTTATAATCATTGATCCACTTAGCGGAAATTATCAAATTTTACGATATAGCCGGAAAAGTAGATTTTAATAGATATATGTGATTGTATTATTCATACATCACCACACTCATTCTATAAACATAAGAATAAAAATCCGGGTAGAAGTGACACCAAACTACTTTCATTTGTAAGTGCTTCGATGCGGCCAAAACGTATCGTTCTGCCTCTCATACGTTATGTTTTTTACGTTATCTGATTGGAATTATGACGAATTTGTACTCATGTATTATCTAAATCCTAATTTTACCATAAATTAATAAAAAACGATTACCTATATCAAAAATATAAGAATTTCGACAATTGCTTTTTTTTTAATGTAAAAAAATCTTAATTTTTGAACTTTGTACAATACATAAACATTGCATTAACGAAATGACGTGAAACGGGTTATTTTATTTATTAATGAAAATAATGATTAATTTACTTAGATATGAGATGAAACGAAACGCAACTTTGTAAGTGTGGCCGAGAAGCTGTGGTTTTTAAAAATGGCGCACTCCAGAATAATTATAGGCGATTATTGAATTGGCGGGAATGTCACTACTCGTCAGTATTGCTACAGATAATATAATATGTTAATTAAGGTAACCTATTCCTTCAAATAAGTGTTAGCATTAATTAAAGCAGCCATAATCCGTCTGCCAAGTCTGATGATTACTGGTAAAATCCTCCAAGGAAAAGACCTATGTTCTGCAGTGGACAGTCGACGGCTGACTTGATGACGATAAACTTGAATTATAATAATTTAGACTCAAATCAATTAGAAAATGATTTCATATCAGTTATATTAAATTGAAATTTTAATTTTAAGATAGGTTCAGGGAAATAGTGCCTCAGAATCGACCCCAATATCAGCTGTCCCAAATATCTCAAACACAGAAGACAGGCTTGTTAGGTGAAAGGAGCGAACTAGGAATAGTGACGTGATGAGGTGGGGCTAATTCGCAACGCAGATATTTGATGATAAAATTTCTTTGCAATCCCTTCAACTATTTTCTAACGAGTATATTAATGTAACAAACTGATAGATTGACATTTATTGTAAAATATTACTAATTCGGATTTCATTATTTATTTATTGCCCCATGGTAATTTTTGACAAAAAATTCAATGAATAGAAATTTTTAATTTTATTATATTATATACTACCTGATTCCAACAGCTTCACCTGCATGATCTTGAACATTTTGTTGTAATATAACGTAAATTCTCGTTGTAAATGTTATTGAAATTATTTCTCTTCGTGTTTTTTTTTTCTCCAAGCATGTTACTTGCTACATCTACGAGTATTAAAATCACGTAGTATGATCAAAATTTGTCAAAATATGTTTGTTAGTTTTATAAACTTTTTCGCATAATTTAAGCTTTTTCGATATATGAGTAAGTAGGTGTATAAAATTTTGCTCGAGTTTAAGAAATATATATATATATATATATATATATATATATATATATATATATATATATGTGTATATATATATATATATATATATATATATATATACATATATATATGTATATATATATATATATATATATATATATATATATATATATATATATATATATATATATATATATATATATATATATATATATATATATATATATATATATATATATATATACATATCAATTTTATTGTCAACTTACAATTAATTTTTATAATTACTTAATTCAATATATCAGCCGTTTATTGTTCACTATTGAACATAGTATTAAGTCCGCCTATTGTACCAGACATATTTTTTTGTAATGTGATCAATAAAGAATAAATAAATAAATAGACCTCCCACAATTGAATATTTGTAATGGTAAAAATTAACGAAGACAAGTAGATGGTTTCGTATCGTTGTGATTTATATATGGAGCGGTACGATGTACTTAGTTCAAACTTTAGCTGTTTCTTACTTTGGTCGTCGCAGTTTCATGTGTTAAAAGTATATAGTGCTTAACCCTTCTTTGCATAATAGTGGAAATTTCCATCATAACATTGAATGCCCAAAAATTATATAAAAGAACAAGTTCACTTTAAGTTGATCGTATTTGGATACCTTTTTAATGTCCATTGCAGAAAAAAAAATATAGCTGTCAAATTTATTTTCTTAATCATTTTTTTCTTTACTTTTGAACATAAATTATATCATCTTGATTTATTTCACCAATAAAAAAAAAACATGTAAAGAAGGATTAAGACACATTCTTGTATGCAAAGATAGATATGAACATATCTATGTATATATCGCCTATATCCGTCGGATATCTATATTCGAATATGTTAAAAGTCTGTTATCTAATATTATTTTTTTCTATATGTTACGCAGCCCTACTTGACAGTAGGAATGTGTAATATCGTTACCACTCCAATATTTATTCACTCCAATTTACCAGAGGGAGACTTTGTACAAAAGTCGATTGCTTGGGTACCTCTGTCCCATTCGTGTTTCAACTGTGAAGCAGCTGTGTTTGCATGGCTGTGTTTCGGTTTGAAGGGTGGGATACGGCGTGAATTTACAGGGTACGGAGGAATAACACCTGAGCCCTCAGGAATGGCAACGCATGGGGCGTATCATGGGCGGAACAGTATACTCTGTACTGTTCATGTCTATAGGCGACGGTTACCACTTTCCATCAGGTGGGCCGTCAGCTTGTTTGCCATTCTAAGTTGTATAAATATAAATATATATATATATATATATATATATATATATATATATATATATATATATATATATATATATATCTAATATATTACTCAGAATCTTGATGGTGGAGAAAAGGTAACCACTCATTTCGATATCGCCCATACCGGTCGGATATCTATATTAATTTCGATGCGGTTCTTCATTTTGCCCCGCCAGCGCAAACCGTTAGCGCAAGCGGGATTACCATTTCATTCTCATTCATCGAAACAAAAAAAAATTATATTAGACTACTCGTATAGGGAAATATTGTTTTAATTCAACTAAAAAATATATATAGGTACTATGATAGGCATTAGTTAGAAAAATAACGTCACAATCATAAGTCAGTGATGGAAAAACAAACCAGTTATTGTACAGTTTCGTATACCACACGTGTATTAATCGCATACTTTAAATAACAATAATAAATAAAAATCTTAAACTAATTAATACCTTTAGGGATAGGGTGATATTTTTTTTTTTAATTTTACATTTTATTTTTGTGGGTTGTCACTAGGGTTGCCAACCCTCCAGGATGGGTGGGGAGGGGATTGTTAGTAATGCGGACTACCAGTCCGATTGCTAGCAATATACCCTGTCAAGTTGACCTCCACGTGGTCCCCCCTGGAAACTATCGTTCTGAATTCCAGGTGCATTCATCACGATGGGCTAAGTGACCTGCTTCTTTCATTCTCACCTGTCATCCCTCATTGGTGCCCCGCCAGCGTATACCGTTAGCGCAGACGGGGTTACCATTCCATTATCATCCATCAAAAAAACCCTCCCGGATTGCTTGGGTGACTCCGGTAATAATGGTTAACCTCTTCGACTTCCTGGGGCGCAATAATTTTTCCGCTTTTTTTTTAAATACTGATGACATAGATAGTGACAAATTGTACGATGAATTTGGGCTTTTGCGTCAGATGCAACCACGTCTCGTTGAAGAAAATCGAGTGGATTTACGCTGGGGGTTGACTTCTCTTTCTGGTAATGAAATCGAAAGACAGAAATCCTTGTGCTGAATTGAAAAAAAATGTTCACGTCTGTATTTCAACTCCTGTCTCTAATGCTTCATTCGAGCACGTATTCAGCATGATGCAGCAAATATAGTACAAAGAAAGAAACTGTGTATTTCTATTGTGGTGAATAACCGACAAATATTAGATGCTGCTCGAAAACAAAATAAATATATTTTTAAAAATTAATGATTTTCTTTTAATACCTCCTCCCAACCCTCGACAAAATTCTTAAACATAAAATTCTACCGGGTTGGTCTTTTCGAGAGTTGGCAACCCTAGTTAGGTAAAAAAAATTGTTCCGAGTCATTCTCAAATCGATGGGATCAATATTTCTGTAATTCTCTGTATATATATATGTATTTTTATTATTATGCAGTTTTTCTATCTTATCGCTCTCAGATATTATCAACTGCGTTCTACCCGATACACCGTGGACAGCTCAATAATGGGTTCTTCTGATTTTATTGCGGGCGTGGTTTGCGAGACAAAGGCTGAACACAACTGCTACCAGCTGGAAGGAAAATAAAATTTGAATTAGTACAAAATAGAAGTAACAAATTAATAGTAAAAGAATTATATGATTAGAAATAAGCATATAACTATATTGTGTTGCATACAATATAGTTATTCGAATATTCATTTTTTCTAATATCCCCGGTTAGGAGGAACTAAGGGCCAACTATGAAATATTTTCCGAGATTTCGGGACCGAACCAAATACAAATTTTATGTTAAAATTATATAATATATACCATGTAAAAATATTAAAAATGTTAAAATATCGTTTCTCTAAACTGTTTTGATAGGATTTATGATGAATGAAATGTTAAGTTCCATTTTCTGGGTCGGTTTCGTTACGAATGAAAACACGAAATTGAGTCCGAAAATTCGGATTTTTTTTCATGGTAGACCCCCTGGTTCTAATTCGGATGGCAAAATTTGAACTAAACAACCCAACTACATTATAATTTAAATAAAAGCTTGTAATAAAAAAAAAAAACAATTAGACAGAGCGAGGTACCAGAGCCATAAGAATATGTAAATTGAGTAGAAGTGACACTAATATGTGAATACGGGAATGCCATCAAAATTTACCCTTATTACCTTTAATAGGAAGCATTGTCACAAATTTATTTGTATTTACTTATTTATTTAAATTTTAATGCACGGTAAAATTCTATGTACATACATTTGGCGGACTTAACAGCGGGATTTACATCGCATCATATATATTAAAATAAACTAAATGGTTTTATTAAAAAAAAAAAACCTGACTGATTTAGTTCTGAATAGTGTGCAGTTGTCAACTTCGTTATAACTAGTTGTCCGCGAGACTTTACTATTGTGAATCAATACAGAATTTTTTTTTAAACAACTTAGAATGGCGAATAAGCGGACGGCCCAACTGATGGAAAGTGGTAACCGTCGCCTATATACATGAGCAGTACCATGGACATAACAGAGTATACTGTTTCGCCCATGATACCCCCCATGCGTTGCCATTCCTGAGGACTCAGGTGTTATACCTCTGTACCCAGTAAATTCACGCATTCTAATATCATGCAAATCTGTTCAATAGTTTTTGCGTGACAGAGTAACAAATATCTACCCGTACATATTTACAAACTTTCGCATCTATCGTATTGATAGGATTATCGAATTTTAATTCCTATGGTAATTTGCAATTTTACTTCCGTCTAAGTTACTAATATTCCGTGGAAAGATTGCAGTAGGACGCAAAAGTAGGATTCCCACCGCTTTCGGGGGGAGAGGGATTGATAGTAATGGGGGTCTAATGAACCCATTGCTAGCAATACACCCTATCAGGTCGACCTCCACGTGGTTCCCCCTGGAAACCATCGTGAACAATTCCTGTTGAATTCGTTACGATGGGCTAACAGATCTGTTTCATTCTCACCTATCATCTCTCACTGGTGCCCCGCCGGTGTGTACCGATAGCGCGGGCGGGGTTACCATTCCATTATCACCCCATTAAAAATACCACCGCTTTCAGGATGAGATGGCAGATTCCTGAATATGTCTTGGTAGTTTTTTAAACGGATGATAATGGAATGATAAGCTTGTCTGCGCTATTGATGTACATCAGTGAGGGATGACAGTGCGTCAGCTGGCCTATCATGACGATTTTACCAAGAAATAACGACAATGGTATCAGGGGGGCTCACGTGGAGGTCGATCTGGCAATCTGATCTGACTGTATATTGTTAGTTCTCGCTGCAAATAATCCATTCCTCTCTTACGTCCTCTGTAGTTAATACTGAAAGGGTATCATACCTCAAAAGCAGCGATTACTAAAGGCACAATGCCTATCGTAATGCCATATGTCTGGAACAGGCTGGTGATTTTGTCATTGCAGCCAGGGTATGCGTTAATCGCATTACACGGAGTCAACTCACAGCATGTGTCTGGTAGATTAATAGGATTTGGATATGAGAGGGGGCCAGTTGTACCGCAGCATTTAAACTGGAATTCAATTAGAATTTTGTTAAAAATAAGATCAGTTGAGTGTATAAAACTTAAACATCTAAAAACCCGTGCATAAATTAATCAGAGACTGAGTGTTTTTTTTTTATACAACTTAAATGGCAAACAAGCTGACGGCCCACCTGATGGAAAGTGGTAACCGTCGCCTATAAACATGAACAGTACCATGGACATAACAGAGTATACTGTTTCGCCCAAGATACCCCCCATGCGTTGCCATTCTTGAGGACTCGGGTGTTATTCCTCTTATTTATTTCCGTTATTTTCGATGACTTATTTGATATATGAATTTTCATCATGTCTCCTATCAAACTGCTTATAATTACGCCTCTCTATCCAAAGGTTTCCTTTCTCGTGGGTGTCGTAAGAGGCGATTAAGGGATGGGCAGCGGCGTCTCTCTTACAACATCTCTAAAAGCCTAACTGCGGTTGCCAACCCGCCTGCCAAGCGTGGCAATTTCTGGCAAAATTCTCCCTATGCGAAAGGCTTATGTTCAGCAGTGGACAGTTAACGGCTGATATAATGATGATGATGTGGCAGTACGAAGCCCACAATTACTATAGCTCAAAGTAAGAAAGTTCTATAATAGTTAGGTATCATTAGGCAATGACTTTTTTAAAAAAAAATACGTTTTTTCGCACAGAAAAAGATTTAAGATTGATAATCGTGTCAAAGGTAAATAATAATATACTATATAATATAATGTATGTATATATATATATATATATAATAGTATATAAGTGTATATAATGAGTAGGGATATATATATTACATTATTACATATATCATATCTCTGTATTAAGAAATAATAGAATTTCATCGTGCCTCCGATCAAACTGTTTATAATTACTCCTCTCTATCCAAAGGTTGCCTGGAAGAGATCGCTCTTAGCGACAAGGTCGCCCATTGTTTTCTCATTGTGATTATTTCTTGCAATTGTTTATATTTATAATAAGTTTACTATTGTAATCTTTTGGAGGAAACAATAAAGAGTATCTATCTATATCTATCTATCAATAGATGTAGCTCTATATATATCGTATCATAAGTATAGGTTTTTAATCGGTGATAATGGAATGGTAACCCCACCCGTGCTATCGGTATACACCGGCGGGGCACCAGTGAAGGATCATAGGTGAGGATGGAGCAGGTCAGTTAGCCCATCGTGACGAATTAAACAAGAATTGTTCACGATGGTTTCCAGGGGGAATCGCGTGGAGGTCGACCTAATAGGGCAAATTGCTAACAATGGGGCTGTCAAACTCCATTGCTAACAATCCCTTTCCCCCCTCATAAGTATAGGTGGATAAATATATAGCAATATATATTTATTGTAGTTACTATATATATTGGTCAACTAACGAATGTATTGGATATTGGTTATTTAATATATAATATAGTAATATAGCACCTGATCAAAATGAATATATATATAGCGCTCACCAGAGGGAGACTTTGTACAAAAGTCAATTGCTTGAGTACCTCTGTCCCATTAGTGTTTCAACCGTGAAGCAGTTGTGTTTGCATGGCTGTGTTTCGGTTTGAAGGATGGGATATGGCGTGAATTTACTGGGTACAGAGGAATAACACCTGAGTCCTCAGGAACTGCAACGCATGGGGGGTATCATGGGCGTAACAGTATACTCTGTTATGTCCATGGTACTGCTCATGTCTATAGGCGACGGTTACCACTTACCATCAGGTGGGCCGTCAGCTAGTTTGCCATTCTAAGTCGTATAAAAAAATATTAAGTTCCCTTAGTCGCCTCTTACACAGGAAAGGAAGCGGTAGCCCATTCTACGATTTACTTTTCTGTGATTTACATTTATTTATTTACTTTTATACATGATTTACATTATGGTTGACTTTTCTATATTACAGTTAACGTTTAAAATTTTACATAAGCATTATTACACATTAAAGAATTTTTTTTTATATCTTTTGTAATGACTGTTCCACGTCAGCCGTCAGTAATGACAAAATGTATGAAATCATTGTAATATTACCATATGACCTTATTGTACCACATTTTTTGCAATAAAATTCATTCATTCGTTCATACGCCGGAATCATACGGTAAATACTGGATAATTAAGGATCGTTTGAGATTACCTGTACTTTATTTTATATTCACTGATTCTACATACCGCTGCTTGGATGTTTCCGAAGGCTAACGCATCATTATTGAATAAAGTGTTCAGATGTTTTGGTATTTCTAATATAATATCGTCCAATTGTATGAATATCAGACTGGCCAGGGTGATTTTTATGATCATCAGGACTATCATGAAGATTGCGTACTGTAACATGTAAATTAAAAGCACGTTAATACACGTAATTTTCCTTTTTAATAGACTTCAAAAGGTAGGTGTCTCTCTCATTTGGGTTGTATATTTTTGTTTGTTACTTTAGAACTACATATGTCCTTTATAATCCGATTTAGAAAATTGTCTTTTTATTTGAAAAGATATAAATAGGAATATAAATAGGATTTCAGAGTGGTCTTATAATAACAATAAATTACTGAATTGTTTTTGATAAAATTTCTATGGGGCCAATTTGTAAATATACACATTTAGATAAAGGAATAATTTTTCAAATCGGGTCATAAACGACAGAGTTATATGGTAACAAACAAAAAAAAAATAACTCACAACCGAATTGAGAATCTCCTTCTTTTTAAAGAAAAAATGAGGATCTACAGACATTAAACATATTATTAATTGGATATTACTCACAGTAACTAACATACAGTTACTTTCCCTGATGGCTCCGCAGCATCCATAGAAAGCTATCAGGAAAACGATACTGCCAACCACCATGGCAGTTATAGGCGCAATCTCCACATTGAAGTCTGATATGTTTTCCACCACAGTCCTGATTTGCAGCTGGATAGCGATACCCAAACCCAGGAGTGCTAGACCTGCCAACTGGTAACAAATACGGAATTAGTAAAAGTTGCAATTCATACATACATACATATATACATATCTATCACGTCTGTCTCCTATTAGGGTAGGCAGAAACAATGGAACGAACAAATATAATTCAAGATTTATTAATACTTGATTTATTCTCTTTAATAAAACTCTGTGTGGCGAGCTTAATGCCATATGGCATTCTCTACCAGCTAACCATTAGGTAAAAACAGCGTATAAAGAGCAGATGCGGTGAAAAATATGTGACATAATTATAGTAACATATGGAAATAATTATACATACATATAATACATCGGAAATACACATATAATACATAAACACTTCTTTAAATATATTATACGAATTTAACTTTTTTATGATTTAACATTTAATTATAATTTTATTTATTGCTTTTTATAAAATGTAAATATTTGCATGTCTACATCGCTTAAGGCAATTAAACAGATGTGGCGTTTATTTTTATGACTGCTTAATGCAAATAATATATACAACAATATATATATATATATATATATATATATATATATATATATATATATATATATATATATATATATATATATACAAGTAATTGATAAGGTTTGTTTTAAAATAGACCTATTTCCAAACACTGGTTTTATTACCTATAGTGGTAAAACCAGTGTTTTTCCTTTCAAAACTATTACTTTTACTACTGAACTTTTAAGAAATTGATTTTGACAAATTATCTATGGGACCAAGTAAGTATATCCTTTTAGATAAAAATGAATTATCGAAATCGATTTATAAATGACCCAGTTGTGAGGTAACAAACATAACAAAATACAACCGAATTCACAACCTCCTTCTTTTTAAAACCGGTTGCAATTTAGAAATGTATGTGCGTATACATTTAAATTCATAAGAGTATTAAAGGTTTTTTATTTTTATTTAAGAATCCTATTTGTTTTTAGAAGAAAATAAAAAATAATATAAATAAAATACTAATTCATGCGGGCAAGCCGCGAGAAACAGTAATAAATATAAGTAAATACCATTTGGCATATATTTGTTATCCAAATTACCAAACTAAGTGACATAACTAGATGTTATCTTTACGACTCTGGTTGTCAAGTGTTTCATTTTCAAACGACTTTGAAAAGAAGATTTTCAATTCGGTCGTATTATTTATTATGTTAATTGCCCTTATAACTCTGTTAGTTCTATGCCGATTTAGAAAATCCTTTTTTTTTTATCTGAATTTTTTTTATTTGCAGATGGATTCCATAGAAATTTTATCAAAATCGGTCAGTAGTTTAGTTTTAGATAAAAAAAAACCTGGTTTTATCACACATGAAGTCAGTTTTTTTTTTGTGGGACACTATCTTTATTTTCTTATTTTCAGTGTTGTTAAATTTTATTTATGTTTTCTTTTTTTTTCTTATTTGCATGTAGTGTTTAGTAATAAATGAATGAATGAACGAATGAATGGTTTATTTTCTCTTCACAAATGGTAGTATAAAGTGACAACTTGAGGTACAATTTGATGTGAAGACCAATTTTGTGAGAGACTAGTGCTTGCGGTAGGTTTTGAGGAACCTGTGTTACAAGTCACCAGTGCCCCATCTCCATGAACTACACAAATACAAGGCAACCAATTAGTATTAAAATACAGTATTACTATATAGTAATACTATATATATATATATATATATAGTATTAAATTATTAGTGTAATATTTGTAATACATCTGCATTGCAATCAAAATATGATTGCAACTAATGTTGGTAATACTAAATAAATAAATAATACACAGACGCCATCTAGTCCCAAACTAAACTAAGTTGGTACTATGAGTAGTCCCGTGTGGTCCCGGCATAAAATAGGTCACCCCTTCCTTTCCCGTGGGTGTATTACGAGGTGACTAAAGGAGGGCGAGCGATGGGTAGCAGCGCCCCTCTTAAAACATCTCCAAAGCGTAATTGCAGTTGTCAAGCGTGGCAACCCTTTAAAAGGCAAAACCCTTTAAAAGGGTTGTTAAAAGCTGATATGATACTATGGTTATTAGACCACCATACCGTACCGTGTCACCCGTTAACTGTCCACTGCTGAACATAGGCCTCCTCCTATTGGGACGTTTTGGCAGTAGTTCCCACGCTTGGCTGCCGGGTTGGCAACCACAGTTTCTTTAATAGGTGATAATGGCATGGTAACCCCGTCTGCGCTAACGGGATACACTGGCGGGGCACCAGTGATAGATAATAGATAACGATGAAAGCAGTTTAATTAGCCCATCGTAACGAATTCCACTAAAATTAACGACGATGGTTTCCAGGTGGAACCGTGTGGAGGTCGACCTGATAGGGTGTATTGCTCGCAATGGGTTCATTCGACCCCATTACTAACAATCCCTTTCTCCCCATGATGGCGTTGTTAGAACCCATTATTAACAATCCCTCACACCTCTAGAGAGGTAGTTAAACAAAACAATAAAAAAAATAGTATTTAGTATGTAGTTCTGTATAAATAATTCTGCTGTTGTGTATACATACATACAGGTACATGCTATCACTTATCACAAGTATCTTATCAGTTCTTATCACTATTATAAATGAGTCGTGGCCGAGTCATATACCTTGATGACTATACGAGTATTGTAGTCATCAAGGTTTGTGAATATTTTTTTTTGATTAATCGATATATCGAATCATGCAAGAGACTGTACCGCATTCACTACTGCAGTATAATGATTCATATTGACAAGAGATAGGCGGTTGTTCCGATCATCATCATCATCATATCAGCTGTTAAATGTCCACTGCTGAACATAGGCCACCCCATAAGGGCGGTTTTGCAAGTAGTAACCACGCTTGGCAGGAGTTGACAATCGTAGGTAGGCTTTTGGTGATGTTTTAAGAAGAACGCTGCCCATCTCTCTGGGAAAGGAAGGGGCGGACTATTCCATGCCGGGACCATACGGCAATTAATTATCTTATTAATATAATGAATTGTAACCGGATGATGTCTGTACATAGGGTGATTTTAAAAAAAGTTATATTACGGGTCTTAATAAGAATCCATCCCATACCCATACCCATTTAGTATTTTTGTTTGTTCGTCTCCTTGTTTATATGCAGTTGCAGTTGTTACAGCATCACGCGAAAACTACTGCACCAAATTGGATGCGGTTTTCACTGTTGTGTTCCTGAATGGCTTACTTAAGAACTGGTGTATTTTGTGTTGATACGCCATCTAGCAATGGTATAGCGGGCAAAAAACTACCACTATTATAAGAGTGAGTACGAGTATATCTTTGGATCAATCAGGTAACAAATGTAAAAATTTAAAATTGAATTAGAACTTCCTTTTTTAAGGTCAGTTGACAAATTATAACACGTAGCTAAGTATAGCGTTTTGTTTGTAATCAACAAATTTCTTATCTCGTAATCTATATGTTTTAGGATAACAACACCTAATAATATTTTTCTTGTGTGACTATATGTAAAAACATTTGCTTTTAATATTTGATACTTGTTTTGTACTTTCATTTTTTAAATGTTTTCTCAATAGTAGTTCAATCCTTAGGGTAAATTCCATTGACCTGGTATTTTCGTAGAGAAGGTCTACTTTTTGGTTGGATTGTTATTTAAAATAAAAAATTGCCAATTGACTAAATTATTATATTACTAGATGGCGCTAGTAATAAAATACTAATACAGCGTATTACTAGCAAAAACAGAAACGCTGGGAATTTGACAACTGTAACTTTTGAATACATTTAAATAATCGATTAGAAATTTTGAAAATTGTTCAATTTTTATTGAAAGTTCAAACATTATTTCTACGTTGCAACACTAATAATATTATCTATGGTTTCGATGTGAGTAATTTAAGAATTATACATAGTACGACGACAGGATCGCCAGACCGTCGGACGCTGTAAATTTATTGAATTCGCCGTCGTTTTGTCATTGCTTGCTGTGTTCGATCAGATCCGATCCGATCGTCCTTCCGCCATATCTTTTATGAATATGATACATAATACAATACAATAATTGTACATACTCACTTCAGTCTTGCCGGACACGAAACAAATTTCAGGTTATGCTTGTCAATCAGAATTAGAGTAATCACTTTGTTTTAGCGGCTTTGACTATCTGTTTTTATTTCTTGCCACGTTTCCGCCACCGACACGGATAGTGGGAAAGCGCGGTTACGCCATATTGACGATATCATATTATTTTCATTAGAAAAACTCTTTTTTTTTTTCAATTCTATCAAGTGTAATGAATAATATAACATATAAATACTTACAGCGAAAAATAGATTGGAGAAGAACAGTATGTACTTGACGAGGAATTCGCCACACCCCATTTTGACTGATTCACAATAATAATGTTTTGAAGAAAAGCGGTATGCGTGTGCATACACCGTCGTGTTGTATGGTAAACTGATAATTTAGGCATTACTTTGTATCTGATATACTGATAATGGGATATAGCGATGATTAACAACCTCCTAACTGACGTTTACAAAATAGTTGTAGACTTGTTTTCTAGTAAAGATAGGTAGCTGTCTCCTTTCCCATCTTTCATAGAAATATAATTTCTACATTAATGTATTCTAAATAGGTATTGAAACTAATTTATTTATTTTTTGATTTCATCGTATAAGAAATAAATTAATAATCAGAATGTTTTCTGCGACACCTATAAAATTTTGTCTGTTAAGAGGTATTGGCGGTTAACCGTCGATAAACGTGTTACAAGTGCGTTATTAATTCTTAGTGAATTCATCATCATGGGCAAACTGAGTTCATCATCACTTATCATCTTTTACTTGTGCCTTACCAGCCTCCACTGATAGTGCAAGCGGGGTTACTATTCCATCATAATTAATACTGCTAGATTTTGGGCTTCTTCAATGCGCTCCAACCATAGAGCAAATAGTCGTTACGTTATAAAAGTTGGCACCGGTCTTATATTAACGGAATCTGGAGGAAAATAAATTGAAATGCATGTTACCTTTTCCAAGCAACAACACAATGAACTTTATAAAAAAAAAGAAAAATAAATGAATATCCATAATGTTGCATCACTATCGATTTTTAATATGTATGTTTTCATCCAATATATCCATGTTGACAGTTGACATAAAAAACCTAGCTGTTTATTAACACAATATTTTCAAATTTTACGAAAAACATGAACAATAAAACAAGTACCTATATTTAGTTACTTTATTTTACTCTACTACAATTTTTAATCCTTTTTTTTGACAGGCGAGTAAAGCAAATTCTTTTGTATTTTTTGCTTTGAAAGCATTGTGTTGACTTAAAGAGCATCTGAAAAAGAAACATATTCAGTTCTAAAGAATATATACGTACTATATTATGCATATAAATAAGAATAGGTAGTTATAACATTATTTTAATTACATATAAATATAATATGAGTAAAAATTATTTTTATCTTAAAAGTTCATATTTTAACGAGAATTCATACATAATTTTAAGTAAGTATTATTTATGTTCGTTATATAATATTATTTATAATTTATTTTCAGTTCATATCAATAAATAATTGAAACCATGGTAGGAACAACGCTATCGGATTTTAGTTAATTTTACAGGTTCAGCAAAATTGGTAACACTACATAGAAATTAATCCCACTACTATATGAGCGACCATGTTAATTAATTAGATAAAACGTCTATCTATCTATCCTATTTAACAGCTACGCTTTGGTCGGTGGAGCTCTTGCCACTCATTACGATTTTTATACATGCAAAGTTTTTCTTAATTATATTAATTATAATTACATACATACGTACAGTGTGATTCCATAGAAATTTTTGTCCTACGAACGTTCAGGTTACAGTATGGGGTTCTTCAAAAAGGGTAACTTAAGGTTTTTACAGGATCGGCAACACGCACGTGACACCCCTAGTGTTGCAGGCGTCTATAGGCTACAATGATCGTTTACCTTCAGACAGGCTGTATGTCTGTTTGCCACCTTTGTAGTATAAAAAATTTGTTTACTCACCGGTTTAAATCTATTGAAAATTAAGCTAAAAACATTGTTTACTCTTTGTATTATATCATACTGAAAATAAATTAATTTATATTTTTATTTGTTACTACGTAATTTAACAGAATACATATTAGTTATTTAAATGTTAAAAAACAAATATTAATAAGTGAAGTGCTTTTTTTTTTTAAATGGCGCCATGATTCTAAATGTCACGGCGCCTATTCAAGATGGCTACTATCAGCCGTGATGTATTTTTTTAATCTGTGTGGTAACATAGTTTCATAGAAAAACGTTTTTCCAACAAGGATGTTCCAACTGACGCAGGCCTGTACTACACTATTACCATCCACCTAAAAAAGTGACTAATGGAAAAAAGATAATGAATCTATCGACGAATTGTTGTCGCAAGCAATCCATGAGATGACAATGTCTGATGTCTTATTCATTTCCATGTCAGCTTTAACTGGAACGATTCTAATTTCAATGAAATTCTATTAATTTGTGAAATTGTAGTCCTCATCGTTTGTGGCGTTAATCACTCACAATGTCTCTATAGATAATGAAATAGGATAAGATTATTTCTATCTATTACTCATGTATATATCGCCACAGATAATATTCCTTATACTAAACAGAATAAAGCATTTTTTAATGGCTAAAAAAGAAAATAGTGACCCCGCTTGCGCTATCGGTACACGCTAGCGGAGCACCAGTGAGGGACGATAGGTAAGGATGAATGCAGGTCAGTTGACCTATCGTGATGAATTCAACAATAATTAATCTCGGTGGTTTCCAAGGGGCCTGGAGGAAGTCTATCAAAGGGCTGTTAAACGCCATTATTAACAATCCCTTTCTCCCCATAATAAAGTATATGTATACTAATATTATAAAGAGGAAAGATTTGTAATTTTGTATGTTTGTAACGAATAAAATCTAAAACTGCTAGACCGATTTAAAAATTTCATTCACCGTTAGAATGCTACGTTATCCCTGAGTAACATAGTAGTCTAGCATAGTATTACTCAGTAACATAGGCTATGTATTTTTTTTTATACAACTTAGAATGGCAATCAAACTGACGTTCCACCTGATGGAAAGTGGTAACCGTCGCCTATAGACATGAGCAGTACCACGGACATAACAAAGTATACTGTTTCACCTATGATACCCCCCATGCGTTACTATTCCTGAGGACTCGGGTGTTATTCCTCTGTACCTAGTAAGTTCACGCCAATTCAATGTATAATATGTAATGAATGAATGATACCTTTATTTGCTCGAATACAGTTTAATATATTAGAAGTATTTAATGTTAAAGAAAAACTGAAGGCATGATGCCTTTAAAAATATAAATTTATTTAATATATTCAAGAAAAAACCGCTAAAAAAACCCCATTTGCTGTGGCCCCACAGTTCCAAGGCACGTCTCTTAACATCTCTAAAAGCATTGGGATCCTTGGTGTCGACATCTCTAGTGACGTACAGTTCCGTGGCCACCTCGAAGATAAGGTGAAGCTGGCATCCAAAAAACTCGGTGTGCTCAATAGAGCGAAGCATTACTTCACGCCGGATCAGCGATTAATGCTTTACAAATCGCAAATCCGGCCCCATATGGAGTATTGCTGTCACTTATGGGCGGGAGCACCTAGATACCAGCTTGAACCCTTCGACTCAGTGCAACGACGAGCTATGAGAATTGTCGATGATCCCATGCTTGCAAGCGGTATCGAACCCTTAAGTCTTAGGAGAGATTTTGCCTCACTCTGCGTGTTCTACCGCTTATACAACGGATTGTGCTCAGAGGAATTATTCAATATGATGCCTACGGCCACTTTCTATCATCGTACGGCTCGCCATCGGCAGGGAGTTCACCCTCATACCTTACAGCCTAAATGGTCGCGTACAACGCGGTTTCAGAGATGCTTTCTCCCACGAACACTCAGGTTATGGAATGAGCTCCCTGCCGAGGTTTTCCCGAGAGACTACAGCATGGGGTTCTTCAAAAGGGGGTAAAGAGGTTTCTTCAGGGTCGGCAACGCGCGCGTAATACCTCTGGTATTGCAGGCGTTCATAGGCTACGGTAACCGCTTACCATCAGGTGGGCCGTATGCTTGTTTGCCACCTCAGTGGTATAAAAAAAAAAAATATATTTATAGTGATGTTTAGAGGACAGCCGTAGTCGTAGTGGTGAATATATCACCAAACATATAGACAAATAACAAATAGAAGATTTTAAGGTTTTAAAAATGAATGATGTAATTTTATGCACATGTGACATATGTGAGATATAAATATATGTAAGAATAATAAGAAAAATACCGAATTATGAACAATTTTTTTAAACACAAAATAGCAATATTGCTTAAGTTAATTTTACAGGCGCTTGAACATCGCATTGGTGATTGGTTTTTTTTGTGTATAATGTGGTGTACATTATACACAAAAAAAAAAAAAAAAAAACTAGTAATCTCAGTCGTAATAAAATTAATTCTTATTTAAAAGAAATAAAATGCATAGATACTTTATGTACATAAACATAGTACCTACCTAAAGTACCTACCAATACTTGTAATGACGATCAGAATAATTCTGTTTTAAATGTAATATGCACTAACCAGCCGTATTCATAAAAACGTCATACCTCTCATAAACTTATTTTAAATATTGAACAGTTTTTATTTTTATGAATAAGGAGATTAAAGTCTTAGTTAAAGTATTTTACTATATAGACTTTGGAATCGCGCGGCAAAATTTTTAAACTCTTCCACAGATCAAGTAAAGACTAATCTAGCTCTTTTATAAATTCAATTTAGTCCGTAAACCTGATACAGTGGTGGCAACACTGGGTGAAAAAATTATTTTAAAAAAATTGTTAAGTCTTTTGCGAGTAGTTGTAGCATAATAAACCATTAATAAAACATAATCAATTGTTGTTATCGTAATTTAATACTATAGAATTGATAATATCTATCACCGAATCATTTATGAATTTAATGGATTGCATTCATTACAATGAATGCAATGCTGTAGGAATTGTCCATAGTTATTGTTTTGAACATCTTTACACCTAGAAACTAACATTACCTTCTAGCTCCTATTTAGTAGTTTGACTAATCTTTGACAATAGTTTCAGTGTTTGTTAATAATATTATTTGATAGTTTATTTAACTGCTAATATCTTCGGCAAAAAATATAATAAATGAATTTATTAAAATCAAATATATTTATTCATTTAACTCTTTATTGTACCTAACATATAAAAATATACATTGACAATTATAAAAGTTAATTAAAATACAGTAGGATAAAGTACAGATCAAAACATAGACAAAAAGCTATAAAAGGCGTTTCTACCGTTAGGACAAATCACTTAGAAATAGATAGATTCCAAAAGATTACAATAGTAAACTTATTATAGATATTGTTCGCGACATTGTAATCATTTTGTATAGTTTATAGCGATATTTTATAGTTATTTTGTTAGCATAAGTCATTAGTTTTTTAATCGTTTAAATTGTTAATTTTACATAGATTTTTTACGATGTATCTATAGCTTGTAAGTTGAATAAAGCATTTTATTGTGTCGAGTCCTTATTACCCGTAAATAGAAATAAGGAAAAATTGTAAAAATAATAGTAATAAGATAATTATGATAAATAAATAGACGCCAAATGGTGCCGCTCTGAAGAGTTACGCGTCCCTCTCACACTCGCCCCGTCCCGCTCGCACAGACTCACTAATGTGAGTTGGTACACGTTATCGTGCGACCGAGCGGGTATAAAGATAGGCCGCCTACCGTCGAGCGGCACTGTCGTCGAGCACCATGAGCGCGTTGTACGTCGCGTAGGCGAGTTTCACACCGCTCCGACGCCGGACTTAACGGAGATTAAATTCGTTTCGCCCGGCGAGGTAAGGCGCATCATCGAGCGCCTACCTAGGCGCAAAGCGCCCGGAGCGGACAAAATACCCACGCCTGCACTCGCCCAGCTGCCCCGTAGAGCCTTAGTATTTATCACTAAGCTCTACAACGGTATACTCCGGACCGGCCACTTTCCATCGAATTGGAAACTCGGCCGAGTCATCGCCCTCCCGAAACCCGGGAAAGATAAACGTTTCCCGGCCAGTTACCGGCCGATAACACTCCTCCCGCACGTAGCGAAGTCCTTTGAGCGCGCGCTGCTCCGCCGGCTGTACCCGTATGTCACTCCACGGGACGAGCAGTTCGGTTTTAGGGGCGGCCACTCAACCACGCTCCAACTTGCGCGCGTGCTGCATCATATGACCGTCGAGCATAACCGCGGTCGACGCGTAGTCGGTGTCTTTCTCTTAATAGAGAAAGCGTTCGACCGCGTGTGGCACGACGGCCTAGTGTACAAACTGTTGATGCACACTAGCACGCCGCAAGCCTACGTGCGGGTAATCGACAACTTCTTACGAGGCCGGAACTTTTATGTTTCGGTAGAGGGCGTGGACTCAGCCGTCCACCCAATCGCCGCCGGAGTGCCGCAGGGCAGCTGCATTTCCCCAGCGCTATACGCGACGTACACGGACGACATTCCCACCTTGAGGGATGAGCTCCTCGAGGGAGAGAGCGATGTCGTCCTAGCTCTATTTGCCGACGACAGTGCATACTTCATGTCGTCGACCAATGCCAACTACGCTGCACGCAGAATGCAGCGTCTGTTGAACCGCCTGCCTGAGTGGCTCGATAAGTGGCGCACCTCCGTTAATGTGGGGAAAACGGTAGCGCTACTGACTCGAAGCCGCTCACATTATCCGCTGCCTCTCCAACTCCGTGGGTCACCCATCTCATGGGAGCGCACAGTGCGTTACCTAGGGGTAGAGATCGACCGGTCGCTGCATATGACAGCACAGGTTAACCGCGCGGTCACACAGACCAGGACCGCGCGGGCCATGCTGCGACCGGTCCTACAGTCCAATCTCTCGCTGCGAACGAAAATAGGCATATACAAGACTTATATTCGTTCGCAGCTGACGTATGCCTCCCCCGCATGGTACGCGCTGTGCTCCGACGCACAGAGGCGGCGCATGCAGGCGCAACAGAACTGCGTTCTGCGTATGTGCGCAGACGCGGGTCGTTACGTACGTAACGACGTAATTGCCCGAGATCTCGCGGTCCCCTCGGTGGAAGAGTTCGTCCGCCGGCTGGCACGTACAACGTTCAGCCGGGCGGACGCCAGCCACCACCCGCACTTGAGGGACCTAGCCCCGCTCCACGCGCGCCCACCGGACGCGACACGCGCATTGCCGCGAGATCTCCTGCGCACAGCAGGCACAAAGCAGGGCGACGGTTAAACCGGCCCTGCACGGTCGACGACATAGTATATAATAATGCTCTTTCTTCCCCCCCACTTTATTCCCTCAGCTGACGCTATTTACAATAGCGTCGGCTCGACCCCACGGGTCGAAAATTAATGACGCACAGGCGGCAGCCTGTGCAGACCGCCTGGGTAAAGGGTGCACACCCGAGGCCCGCACCTGCAACCCTGTAAAGGGTTGCGGATGAACCCCTTCTTCTTCGAGCGGCACGCACTGCACTCCCCAACCGATAAGGAAATAGGATACTCTTCAGTACGGAACCGGGAGCTTCAAGAAAGGAATTATAGCGTTTCTCTCCAGCCTGAACCAGCACCCCTACAGTCCACGCTCACCGAGCGGTCAAGCTGCACCGTTCAGATATAAACAATTACTTATAAACAATCTTTGTTAAAGGAGAACAGTTAGAGTTGGGTAGGTGGCGCAAGATTGAATTAATAATTTTTAAATACATAAAATACACAACCTATGTTATATAAAAATTTTAAAAACATATACATACACATATAAATATATACGTAGCACAAATAAAGAAATATGACGAATATAGTGAACATTACAAAAAAAAAAGGTAACTACAATGAAAGAAAATGTGATTTGATTTGCTACTACACAATGCTAAGGACTGTGCATTTCGAATCGAAGCGTGTTTCATAGGCGCCAACCCTCAACGGAAAAAAATTCGGAATAGTACACGAATATATTATATGTGAAGGGGTTCTTAAAAGATTTTTCGTGGTACCTCTGATATTAATATACATTTGTATTGTCGATTAGATAACGAATTAAATCGAAATAATTGATGACCTACGTATGTATAATAATGGGGTCGATTATGAGGTTTGATGGCATAAAGAATTTTTTTATCTAAGTATTAATATAAACTAAATTTGTAATAGATTTAAGTCAAAATTACTATTAGTTTAGGATGATTTACAAAACATTAATTTTGTAATACTTTAAAATCAAAATATTAAGTTAAGAAATAGAATTAAAGACATTGCAAATTAGAATCAACCCTATTATTTACTATTTGTCTTTTAACTACAGAACTGGCACTATCTTTATATTAACGAGACTGAAAAATGAGTCTATGCAACCATCTAGTAATGTCAAAACAGTAAAACAAATTTATATCCATAGTTTTGTTTAATTATGTATAATACGTTTCTATTTACAATATGGATATATATAAATATGTATCAAGAAAGATATAGTTATTATGTAATGGAAAACTTTTATAATCAATGTACACATTGGACAGATATCATAAAACAGGTAATTTTGTTCGAAGTGACACGGACCTGTCTTTGATATTCTCTGTCAGATTTGTGATTTTCGCTTGTGACATCTTGTCAAGTTTTATTTATTTGTTTGTGACGGTGACGGTGAATTTATTATTTTGTTTGAAGCCGAAGTTTGGACTATGTACCGTGTACTTACAAATCAGTGTAGATAAATATTTTATTTAAACTATTCTTATCTTTAAAACAGCGCACAAGACGAGTCGAGCGATACTAGTCCATTTTAATTAAACGATCAGTTGCTCGGAGTACTTTATTACCGCACACATGTATGGACATTTATAATCGTTTGATCTGAGACTTAAATTGAATTTATTATTCAAGGTCTCAATTGCAGTAACTCATTCGTAATTTAAATAAAAAAAAAGTTGTCGTGTCTTCCTATATTATAATAAGTGCCTATCCTCGGATATCTTGAAACTATGTGCTAAAAGTTTATTAAATACGAAAGATTTATTAGTAAAGAGAGTATCGATCTGAAAATTATTATAATTTTTAACAAGGTAAGTGAGTTATTTCTAGTTTTATAATAACGGTAAATATATAATATATTAATTTCAGTATTTGTCTATAAATATAACTAAATAAATTAATAGAAAAGCTTTTAATAGATTGATCCTTATAATTTGTAGGTATAAGTGGGTACTTACACTTTTTTAAACTTTTACATTAATTAAATATTTATTCATTATCCATTGTAGCATACATAACTAATATTTTAGTAGCTTTTATTGTAAAAGAAGTGTATTAAGTTAGATTTTTTGTCTCAGAACTATTCAATAATATGTAAAAATATAAGTAATTTATACTTAATGCACAATAGCATGTCAAAATGGCTCAAAATCACTAAAACCATAGACTAAAACATAAGTTATTGAAACAAAAATTATTGGAACACGAAAAATAATAATTACATTTTTCGTGTTCCAATAATTTTTGTTTCAATAACTTTTGTTTTAGTCTATGGTTTTAGTGATTTTGAGCCATTTTGACATGCTATTGTGCATTAAGTATAAATTACTTATATTTTTACATATACAAAAGAATATTAGGATGAAAATGTCTTGTATCCTTCTATAAAAATTTAGTCAGTGGGTACTTTTAAAAAACTTAAGATTTCCTTTCTAGTTATATTTATAATCAGTCAAGGATATTATGTTATTTGCAATTAATAATATGAAAGTATGCTACCTGGTAGGAGTCTCTATCCTTTAATTCCTGGATGGTGTTTATTATGATATTTAAACATTGATGGTATTTAATATCAATCAACCATGTAGCAAGTTGATTAACCTAATATAATTTGATTATTAAGGATGATTATGCCCATGGCCACTTTCTACCATAGTACAGCTTGCCATTGATAGGGACTTTACCCTCATACCTTACAGTAAATGGTTCTGTACAATGTGGTTTTAGAGATATTTTCTCCCATGAACACTCAAGTTATGGAGTAAGCTCCCTGCTGAGGTTTTCCCAAGAGATTACAACATGGGGTTCTTCAAAAGGGGAGTAAAGAGGTTTCTTCAGGGTTGGCATCATGCACATAATACCCCTGGTATTGCAGGCATTCATAGTCTATGGTAACCACTTACCGTCAGATGGGTCATATGCTTGTTTGCCACCTTAGTGGTATATAAAAAAAAAATAAGAAAAAAAATATACATGGTTATGAAAATGAAAAACAAAATTTTGGGATTTTTAATTTTTCTCTATAAGCTAAATTGTAAACCATAATTATAAAAGAATAATCTAATAGAAAATCTACTATTTTAATTGCTAAGTAAATCTACCAGAGGGAGACTTTGTACAAAACTCGATTGCCTGGGTACCTCTGTCCCATTTGTGTCTACCGTGAAGCAGTTATGTTTGCATGGCTGTGTTTCAGTTTGAATAGTGGGATATGGCATGAATTTACAGGGTACAGAGGCATAACATCTGAGTCCTCAGGAATGGCAACGCATAGGGGGTATCATGGGCGAAACAGTATATTCTGTTATGTCCATGGTACTGCGCATGTCTATAGGCGACAGTTATCACTTTCCATCAGCTTGTTTGCCATTCTAAGTTGTATAAAAAAAAAACTAAACAGTCCATTTAGAAATAAAGTATTTTATTAGTAGAATGTGTTGCCATGCAATTATCACATCATTATAATTATTATAGAAATGAAGGTGTCTAATACCACAGTGATCCTATTAATGTTGATAGGTTTATTGATTAGATAACAATTTACGAGGTTTGTCCGGAAAGTACGTATAAAAGTTTTTTAAAAATTTTATTTTACAATTATTCAGGTAAATCAATTTTATCCCCTTCAAAGTACTCCCCCTGTGACATAATGCACTTGTGCCAACGCCGTTTCCACTGTGAGAAGGCTCCTTGAAAGTCCTCTGGTTGTAGGTTTCTCAGCTGCCCCGTCGTAGCTTTTTTTATCTCATTTATGTCCCCCAAATGCCGCCCCCGAAGTACCAATTTGGTTTTTGGGAACAAGAAGAAGTCACACGGGGCCAAATCCGGCGAATAGGGGTGTTCGGTCACCGTAATGGAATTTTTACTCAAAAACTCACGGACAACAAGAGAGGTGTGGGCAGGGGCATTGTCGTGGTGAAGAATCCAACGCCCCTCTCGCGCCAATTCTGGACGAACTCGTGCCACACGAGCTTTGAGGCGTCTGAGCACATCGACGTAGAATTTTCCATCAACTGTCTGGCCTGGAGGGACGAATGATGGACAATCCCCCGAACATCGAAAAAAACAATCAACATTGTCTTGACATTTGATTTTCTTGATTTTTTTGTTCGTGGTTCCCCGGATGTCTTATCGAATTAGATCGGCAAAAATTTCACGGCCATTCTTGCCGAGTTTCGAGAGAAACTTGATTACGACGCGCTGCTCTTCAACGGAAGCGGGCTCCATGCCGACGGGGTTTCGTTAAGAGGTAACTTCACAGATGGCGTGACAAGCCAGTTCGCAATGGTCAGACCAGAACTGAAGCATTGTTAGGGACATAAGGAAGGGGTCCTGCGCTTACCTGGCCTCCCACTCCTCTTTCTCGCATTCCAGAACACTTTTATACGAACTTTCCGGACAGACCTCGTATAACAAATATTGAATAAGTGCATTTCATAGACTAAAATATACTAACTAAAATAAGTGATTTGGAACAAATATTGAACAAGTGCATAGACTAAAATATACTAACTAAAATAAGTGATTTGGAACAAATATTGAATAAGTGCATAGACTAAAATATACTAACTAAAATAAGTGATTTGGAACAAATATTGAATAAGTGCATAGACTAAAATATACTAACTAAAATAAGTGATTTGGAACAAATATTGAATAAGTGCATAGACTAAAATATACTAACTAAAATAAGTGATTTGGAACAAATATTGAATAAGTGCATAGACTAAAATATAACTATAAAATATAACATAAGTGACTTGGTTTTTACATGAGATCACACAATTTTTTGTAGTGAAAGAACTATGTTACAATAATTCATATTTTTTTTATATTAAATGTTTTTAGTGATATCACTTAATATTCACAAGTAAATGACCCTGTCACTGATTAATGTACTCAAGATAGCTTTTTTGCACACATGTTATTTTTATCTAAATTTATTAATATCTGTGATGCCAATAAACAATATTTTCTATTTCTCTTATACATACTTGTGTAATAACGAAGGTGCCCACATTTTTATGTAAATTAGACTGTATTTAAAGTGCCTTGTGAAGAACATATCCTGTGCCTAAAATGTCAATGCTTGTTAGTATTGTTTTTCATTGCATAATATTTAAAATTATGGTTAAGTACTTATTTCTATTGCATTTGACTGTATAATTATGTTCACTCTTGACCTATCAGTGGAAAACATGCCACAAGCTTATGTTTAAAACACTGAATGGCTGTGTTTTTTTAAACCATATATTATGTTTATGAATAAGTATATTTTGTATTTGACTTGAATTGTTTATATATGTTATTTTTAAACATTAATATTTTATTTATTTAGGCCCGTAAGTAAATAAAATAGGGATCATTTTAATATTATGTATAATTCAAATCATTCAATTGACAAAAATATATGCAATGTAAGTCTCTTTTTGTTTTGAAATATGTTAGAAGTATTAAAGTTGTATTTTTTTATGTTTATTACCTCATAACTTGGACAGTTCTAAACCGATTTGGAAATTTTTTATTTATCTGAAAGGACATACTTATAGATTGATCTCATAGAAGTTTTATTAAAATCTCTTTAGTAGTTTTTAGATCAAAATAACTAGTTTTGTCTAAAATTGTTTTTTTTTTTGCTGTATACAATCTTTAATTATGGACTTTGTATATAGTAAACATGATTTTAAATTAATTGACTATGTTACAAATACGTAATATTAGTATTAGATTATCTGTGATAATATTAATGCTATTATGACAGCCTTAATTACAGTATCTGATCATTACATAATATGAAATAATAATTAAAATATTATGATAAGTTATACAGTGACGGACTAAGCCCGTCAGAGGCCTTAGGGGGGCTGAGTGAGCCCCCTAGTTTAAGAAGTTGATTTAGTTTCTCAAAGTTTTTATTCACTTTATATTTGTATGTATTATTGTTTTTATTTATTTAGTTAAAATATTGCAAGGGAAATTTAAATTAGACTTAAATAAAAATATCCGTGTCTCTACCGTAAAGCAGTTGTGTTTGCATGGCTATTTCGGTTTGAAGGGTGGGATATGGCGTGAATTTACTGGGTACAGAGGAATAACATCTGAGTCCTCAGGAATGGCAACGCATGGGGGGTATCATGGGCAAAACAGTATACTCTGTTATGTCCGTGGTCCTCCTCATGTCTATAGGCGACGGTTAACACTTTCTATCAGGGGGCCGTCAGGTTGTTTGTCATGGTACATCCTCATAATCATAATCCATCATAATACCTCCATTCTATATATGTAAACACATATAAAATGGAGGTGTTATTAGTATATCGATAAAAAATAAATAAAACTACTCGCCAAATTAGAAATTTTACCTTAAATTGTTTTTAATTACAAGATAACCGTGCCCACTCCAGAATAGATTTTTTTTTATTAATTACGCTTCTTGCGTCAATGAGCTACCGTCTTTTGCTTTTATCCTCTACAGTATAACAAAAACTATAATTATGTTTTTATGAAATAAATCTCATTTCATTTAATTTCGTTATATAAGTGGTGCTATAAAGGGTAATAAATAAATAGTTTGTTTTTATGGGTGAAAATGCCTTGAAAAAATGCCCGTATTATCATCGGTACACGATGGCGGGGCATCAGTGAGAGATGATAGATGAGTATGAAAGCAAATCAGTTGGATTATCGTAAGATCCATTATTAACAACCCCCCCCCCCACCCTCAGAATCGTCTACTATCCACTCCAGGAAGAAAGCCAAAATTCGCAGACATGTTTGAGAATATATATATGTGCCTTTTTTGTCTATGTTGACTAGTCTTCCATAAGCCGGGGGGTATCATAGCTTGATGATATGCAAGTTTTTATTTTTACGTTTTAGGAACCAAATACATTCAACAATGGCGTCTAAGCTGAGAAATCTATTCACACAAGTAATAAGGAAACAAAAATTCACCCCATCGTATATGGCTGTCGGACGTAAGAGCACCCTCAGTACCGAGAGTAACGTATTATCGTCTGTATATGACGATATACCGATTTCCAATGATACACTATGCGATTTTGTTTGGCAAAGAATGGACAGATGGCCTGATAAAACCGCAACTGTAAGTATTTATTTAAATTATATCTTTTGTATGTTTGTTAGTTCTTAAGAGATTGGATGGAAGAATATTTACGAAAGAAATTTATCCAGCACTAATGAATGGAGATGTCGGTAGGGGCCGTCCTAGAAGGACATATCTCTACCAAATAGGCGACGTGCTAATGAAAGGCCAAATTAAAAGTATCTGTAACAGTAAAAGATTGATAAGTAAGGACGAAGCGAAAGAGGTCTGTTTGTATCGACCGACGACCAACCAAGTTGCGGATATTGCTAGTAATGGGGTCCTTGTTACTAACGATCATCTTTCTCAGTCTATGCCAATTACCTATATTGTAATAAGTCTGTCCGTCTGGGAGTTGTGCCGGGTGGTTATGGTCAGTAGAAACAGTTCTAGATTGATTGGAACAATACTGAAGGTCGATTCTCATGCATTGAAATCAATCACAAATCTGAGAAAAAATTCGAATTTTAACATTTTTCGGGCGAAAATCAAATATGTTTTTCATCCATTTGTGGCACATGGCAAAATATACAGTATGGCGTTATCCTGTGCGTCATGGCGCTATTTTGAGTTAATTTGATAAGCCAGTGCAGTAAGGTGAGCTTAAGTTACTGAATTGAAACAAGAAATATCGTTGAGATACTCATGTCTAAGGCAGAGAAGTGTTCGGTACCCGATTTTATAGTGAAGAAAGGATTCGAATCACTCTATTTTGAGATTATGCCAAAAGAAACCAGAAGTTCTTGGGTTGTAGTGTGAATACATACATTATTTCTTATGTAATAAAATTTTACCAGACCGAGATTTTTCCGGGAGCCTACCGAGAGCAAACTGAGACCGGCTTTATTTGTCATTGTTCTTTGCTTTAAAAAGTTGCAAGATCTTAAAGACTTTGTTAGAATGCATTTAGAGTTTCAATTTGTTCGCCTCTATATCTAATACTTTTATTTCAGGTATGTTCAGTTACTGGTCGTGGCTACACTTATGCACAACTGCACAGGATTTCCATGGTCTTTGGCGCCTCTCTGCGATCGAAATTGAAATTGAGAGAGGACGACAAAGTGGCTATAATACTGCCCAACGTCCCGGAGTACCCGTGTATAGTGATGGGCGCGTTGCAAGCCGGGTGTGTGGTTAGTCCAATGAATCCTCTTTATACGGCCGGTAAGTATATTTTATAGATGATAATGGTATGGCTGTTCTGTTTGTGCTATAAATATATGCTGGCGGAGTATTAGTGAGTGATGATAGATAAGAATCATGTTAGATCAGTTGGGCCACCGTGATGAATTCGCTAGGAATTAACCATGATGCTTTCCAGGCAGAGGCAGAATTATGAGGCCAATTTGACAAAACAAATTGTTCTCAATAAGGCCACTGCGCAAGAATTAGAATTACCAATTATTGTATCTGTCATTATCATATTGGCTTTTAACTGTCCACTGCTGAACATAAGCCTCCACTAAGGGTTTTGCCAGTAGTTACCACGCTTGGCAGGCGGATTGGCAACCGCAGTTAGTTTTTGGAGATGTTTTAAGAGGGACGCTGCTGCCCATTCCTCGCTCTCCCTTAGTTGCCTCTTACGACACCCACGGAAAAAGAAGGGGTGGCCTTTTCTATGCCGAGACCACACGGGCCATTATCAACTATAAAATTGTATTCGTAATGTGTTACAATTCTGATTTGCCTTTATTATTTTTAGAGGAACTAAAACGCCAACTGGAGCTGATAGATTGCAAACTTGTGGTATCATCGAAAATATCATACCCAAACATAGCACAAGCATTACAGTCACTGAAATCGAAGATTCCAGTCATATTAATTGACAATGAGGGTCTACCGGAGGGCACCATCAAGTTTGCCGACTTCGCTGAAGACGTGAATGCGGATACTAATTGTCTGAAGTCGGTCAAGAGAAGTCCCGATGATGTTGCGGTCATACCTTTCTCGAGTGGAACTTCAGGGTTTCCAAAAGGAGTCGTCTTAACCCATAGATCTATGGTGGCTAGTAGCGTTATGATTTCCTCACCTGAAATTATGGCAATAGTTGAAACGACTGGTAAGTTACTTTTTTTTTTCTATATCAAACATACTTATGTAAATAGAAGTATTTATGTTCCAAGGAACGCTAGAAGCATACCCAGGGACCAATTATTCGCTATATTGACGTTGATTTTCTGTCGCAGCTGTCACCTAGCTACCTGGGTAATTAGTTTTTTTTTATACCACTGAGGTGGCAAACAAGCGTACGGCCCACCTGATAATAAGCGGTTACCGTATCCTATGAACGCTTGCAATACCAGGGGGATTACGCGCGTGTTGCCGACCCTGAAGAAACCTCTTTATCCTCCTATTCCTATTGACGAACCCCATGCTGTAGTCCCTTGGGAATACCTCGGCAGGGAGCTCATTCCATAACCTAAGTGTTTGTGGGAGAAAACATCTCTGAAACCGCGTTGTACGCGACTATTTGGGCTGTAGGGTATGAGGGTGACCTCCCTGTCGATGGCGAGCCGTACGATGGTAGAAAGTGGGCAAGTGCCGTCGATCCTTGCTACAGTAGGTTTTAAGTGATAATATTTAATAACTACTTACTGCCGTGATGATGATATCTGCCGTTAAATGTCCACTGCTGAATATGAGCCTTCCCCATAAGCGGGGGGGGGGGGGGGGTTTACCAGTAGATGCTACGCTTGGCAGGCGGGTTGGAAACAGCAGTTAAGCTTTGATGATGTTTAAAGAGGGACGCTGCTTCCCATCCTTCGATTATTAAGTTCCCGTAGTCGCCTTTTACGACACCCACGGGAAAGAAAGGGGTGGCCCATTCTATGTCGGGACCATATGGCTAAAAACTAAACATATATTCATGAAAAATAATATATTTCAGACAGTTTTTTCTGTAATACAATCTCGTTACAGCGACTCGCCAGTCCGTGTTCGCAGCAGTGATACCGTTCTTCCACATATTCGGTTTCAACATACTGATGTTGAGCCAACTCTACCTCGGCTGCAAGCTTGTCACCCTGCCTCATTTCAAGCCGGATCTGTTCCTGCAGACGATCGCCAAATATAAGTCCGATATCTTATTCATGGTGCCACCTATCGGTGAGTATACAGACTGTTTTTGTATCTTTTTTATTTACCTTGTCTTGTTTATTAACTTTTATTAATGTATTATACTATAAAGTAGACTATAATGCTAAATGCAAACACAATTTTGTTGACATTCAAAATTTAATTTCTTATTTTTTTGGCACTTTTCAAGGTGGACGCTTGTTTTGTTGTTGAGTTCTAGTCTTTATTTACTTCGTGTTATATAATATTTACATTTAACATTCATATTGTTGACATTTAAAATTAAATAATTATTTCTTGATATTCAATCACAAAGAGGGTTGACGTCAGGCAGGCGGCCGGTCGTAAAACTATAAGCTAAATCCTTTTGTAATATGGATAAAACCATATTACGCCGACCACAAATAATAATTGGGATAAGGGTAGGAAGATGATGATGATTTTTTGATATTTAAAATGCAATTTTTATTTTGTTGACATTTTGAATTAATTTCTTAATTTTTTTATTCGTTATCAGTTCACTACTGGACACTTTATGTAGACTGTATGCAAGCAGATTGTATTTATTTATTCATTAGTACAAATATGTGTACATGGCGGATTTAATGCTAAAAGCATTCTCTCCCAGTCAACCACAGGGAAGTGTCAGAATACTCGAATGCGGCACTAGTAATTATTGATATACATACATACTAAAATTACATATATAAACGAATAAATATATATGAATAACAAATATACTTACACATATATGATATATACTATATTATACATATTAAATTGAGAATAACATAAAGCACTTGTATTTAAATTTGGTAAGGTTATATGGCCGTATAACATTTTTTATACGCTAATCTGCTATGAATTGACAAAAAAGGAGGCAACCATATGATTTCCAGTTTTTATTTTATCATTCCTCCTATGTAGTTGGTTGTTGTTAGTATTGAAGTGCGTATATGGTTGGCAGCCGTGTTCCTGGCGCGGCACCCGGCGGTGACGCCGGCGCACCTGCAGTCCGTGCGCTCCATCATATGCGGCGCGGCGCCGCTGTCCCCCGCCGATGCGGATGCTATTGTCGCCAAAAATGTAAGTCCTCTATTTTTTTTTTTTTTTTTTTTTTGATGGGTGAAAATGGTATGGTAACCCCGCCTGCGCTAACGGGATACGCTGGCGGAGCACCAGTGAAGGGTGATCGATGAGAATGAAAACAGGCCAGTTAGCCCATCATGATGAATTCTTCAGGAATTAATCATGATAGTTTCCAGGGAGAACCGCGAGGTCGACCTGGTTGGGTATATTGCTAGCAATGGGATTCTCATTCTCCATTACTAACAATCCCTTTCCCCCCAGTACTTTATATTTTATGGAAGTTAGGCTCCTTTTATAATAATTTACTAGGTTTGACCCGTGACTTTGTCCGCGTGATTGGTTTATATTCGCTGACCAGGATAAGAAGTACGTGTATACCTATCAGATCGGTTAAGACGTCAAGACATAAAGAGATAATAAACAAACAAGCTCACTTTTTACCAGAGAGAGACTTTGTACAAAAGTCGATTGCTTGGGTACCTCTGTCCCATTCGTGTTTCAACCGTGAAGCAGTTGTGTTTGCATGGCTGTGTTTCTGTTTGTAGGGTGGGATATGGCGTGAATTTACAGGGTACAGAGGAATAACACCTGAGTCCTCAGGAATGGCTACACATGGGGGGTATCGTGGGCGAAACAGTATACTCTGTTATGTCCATGGTACTGCTCATATCTATAGGCGACGGTTACCACTTTACATCAGGTGGGCCGTCAGCTTGTTTGCCATTCTAAGTTGTATAAAAAAAAAAAAAACTTTCATATTTATAATGTTGGTAAGGATTCAGCGACACACATCACAACAAGACATGATACATGAGAGGTAGAAGTAATTACATAGACAACTGTCATAGATAATGGATTTAAGAATTTTAATTTATTGAAAAGGGGGATTGGGGGAAAGGGATTGTTTGTAATGATGTCTAATTTTCCTATTGCTAACAATACACTCTATCAGATCGACTACCACGCGGTTCCCCCTGGAAACTATCATGGTTAATTCTAGTAGAATTGGTCTTGATGGACTGACTGACCTGAGGGCCTACCATGACACATTTTCCGAAATTTCGGGGACGAACGAAATAGAAATTTGATGTTAAAATTACATAATACATGCCATTTACAATTATTAAAAATATTAAAATATCATTCCTCTGGACTATTAGGATAGGATTTATGATGAATAAAACGTTAAGCTCCATTTACTGGGTCGATTTAGGTACGAACAAAAATACGAAATTGAGGCCAAAAATTCGGAATTTCATTTTATGGTAGGCCTCCTGGTTTCATCGTTAAAAAACAGGGGTTGATCGTAAAAGCGTGAAAATTTGAATTTGTATGTAATTTTCAATACTAAATCATAATAAAATAAAAATAAAAAATTTTGTCAATAAAATAAAAAAAATATTTAGGGGTAGGTCATGCTTATCAGAGGGGTATGAGAAATAGATGTTGGCGGATTCTGAGACCTACCCAATATGCACGCAAAATTACATAAAAATCGGTTGAATTGGAATGGCAACGCATGGGGGGTATCATGGGCGAAACAGTATACTCTGTTAAGTCCATGGCACTGCTCATGTCTATAGGCGACGGTTACCACTTTCCATCAGGCGGGCCGTCAGCTTGTTTGCCATTCTAAGTTGTATAAAAAAAAATGATGATGATGATTACAAACACTAATTCCAAATTTAATAAAAAGACACCATTTTCAAAAGATCCTATAAATCATTTATTAAATGAAAATCACTCGAGATCCCAATAATTTTGTTTACTAAATATTCCAAATAAAAAAAAAAAAATGAAATAATATTGTTTTTAACTATTATCGTTGGATTAAAAGCAGTTTTATAGTGTAAATTTATTGCGTTGTTTTTATTATTGTAAACTTTTGCACGTCTCGTTAGTAGAACATGGATTAAAATCGAGTTTAATAAATATGTTTTTTATTAAATATGTTTATTAAATGTGCCTAAGTAATAACAGATTATAAGTGAAATTTGTTCATTGCAGCGTTATAAAAGTTTTTGATAAGTGAAATATCAATTGCATAGTCATCATTAGTAGGTGTTAGTGTACATATGTTATTTTATCGTGAATTTCAGTTGAGTCATAGGCCGCGTGACGTCACGTACAAACAATATGGCCGCCATAAAATATATACAGATAATTACAGGAAACAAATAAAACAACTTACAATTATTATAAACTAGCGACCCGACCCGGCTTCGCACGAGTATACAGAATTTCCAAAAATCAATATACAACATATAATAAAAGTTCAAACAATTCAACCGATCGATTATTTTATAGCATTTTATATGTGATTCTTTAGATTGATATTACTTTTTTTATATATGAACCGGTTGAAATAAAACAAACAATACATGTTAAGTGTGAAACACACCGCAACACATTAGTGAAAAGCGTATTCACATCGGTTAAGCCGTTTCTAAGATTAGCGTGCACAAGCGTACAGACAAACAGACAAATTCTAACAAAATTTTTTTTAGTTTCTATTGCGTTCATTAAGCCCCCCTATAATAGTTTTTTTTATATATCTTCCATGTACAGACAGCGATCAGTTACGATTTTATTATATGTATTGATATGTAAAAGTGAGTTTATTTGTTAGCGTCTTAACGACTAAACCAACCGACAGTACGAGGGAGGAAAGGAATTGTTACTAATGGGGGTCTAATTGATCCATTGCTAGCAATATACTCACCCTATCAGGTCGACATCCACGCGGTTCCCCCTGGAAACCGTCGTGGTTAATTCTAATGGAATTCGTCACGATGGGCTAACTGACCTGCCTTTTCATCCTCACCTGTCATTCCTCACTGGTGCCCCGCCAGCGTATCCCGATAGCGCAGGCGAGGTTACCATACCAATATCATCCATTAAAAAAAACCGACAGTTAGAAGCACGGGCGCGGCGATAGTTTTACAACAAAATCAGCGGGACAAAGTACAAATGTTTCAAACAATATTATAATGAATTGATCGAGATAATATAATCGTTGGCAGACAAAGATATGAATGCTGTTCTAAGCGTAGTCACCTTATTTGATAACACGGATCTACAAACTATAAACACGTTCGAACTATTTGACCCGGCGTACTAAGTTGATAGTTACATAGTAATTAATTACTTAGTAATTCCATATCGTGTGTGTAAAATTAGATGTTCTTATGTCCATTCATTTAAAACTAATCTATTTATTATAAGAGTTACATTAATTACTTGTTGATATACTTATATACAAAATATTTATTTATATTAGAATTTAAATGAAAAATAAGTATTAAGACATGTTAATATATATATATATATATATATATATATATATATATATATATATATATATATATATATATATATATATATATATATATATATATAATATATATATATATATATATATATATATATATATATATATATATATATATATATATATATAAAATTCTCATGTCGCGGTGTTTGTTACCAAACTCCTAAACGGCATAACCGATTTTTATAAAATTTTGCGTACATATCGGGCATGTCTGAGAATTGGCTAATATATTATTATGTTGTATAAAAAATCGTAACTGATCGCTATCTGTACATGGAAGATATATAAGAAAAACTATTATAGGGGGGCTTAATGAACGTAGTAGAATTTAAAAACATTTCTGTTAGAATTTGTCTTCTCTGTACGTTTGTGCACGCTAATCTCAGAAACGGCTTAACCGATGTGAATACGCTTTTCACTAATGTGTTGCGGTGTGTTTCACACTTAACATTTATAGTTTGTTTTATTTCAATCGGTTCATAAATAAAAAAGCAATATCAATCTAAAGAATCACATATAAAATGCTATAAAATAATCGATCAGTTGAATTGTTTGAACTTTTATTATATGTTGTATATTGATTTTTGGAAATTCTGTATACTCGTGCGAAGCCGGGTCGGGTCGCTAGTTTATAATAATTGTAAGTTTTTTTATTTGTTTCCTGTAATTATCTGTATATATTTTATGGCGGCCATATTGTTTGTACGTGACGTCACGTGGCCTATGACGATAAAATAACATATGTACACTAACACCTACTAATGATGGGGGGGGAAGGGATTGTTAGTAATGGAGACTGAGAATCCCATTGCTAGCAATATACCCAACCAGGTCGGCCTCCTCGCGGTTCCCCCTGGAAACTATCATGGTTAATTCCTGATGAATTCATCATGATGGTCTAACTGGCCTGTTTTCATTCTCATCTATCAGCCTTCACTGGTGCTCCGCCAGCGTATCCCGTTAGCGCAGGCGGGGTTACCATACCATTTTCACTTATCAAAAACACCTACTAATGATGACTTTGCTACTAATAATTCACTTATCAAAAACTTTTATAACGCTGCAATGAACAAAATTCACATATCGTCATAGTCGTAGAATACTGACGGATCTATATATGTAATATTTGTCAGATCCGTCAGTATTCTACTACTGTGACGATATAATCTGTTATTACTTAGGAATATTTAATAAACAATTTGATAAACAAAACACATTTTTTAATTCGATTTTAATCCAAGTTCTACTAATGTGACGTGTAAAAGTTTACAATAATAAAAACAACGCAATAAATTTACACTATAAAACTGCTTTTAATCCAACGATAATAGCTAAAAACAATATTATTTCATTTTTTTTTTATTTGGAATATGCAGTAAACAAAATTATTGAGATCTCGAGTGATTTTCATTTAATAAATGATTTATAGGATCTTTCGAAAAATGGTGTCTTTTTATTAAATTTGGAATTAGTGTTTGTAATCATCATCATCATCATTTTTTTTTATACAACTTAGAATGGCAAACAAGCTGACGGCCCGCCTGATGGAAAGTGGTAACCGTCGCCTATAGACATGAGCAGGAACATGGACATAACAGAGTATACTGTTACGCCCATGATACCCCCCATGCGTTGCCATTCCTGAGGACTCAGGTGTTATTCCTCTGTACCCTGTAAATTCACGCCATATCCCAACCTTCAAACCGAAGCAGTTGTGTTTGCATGGCTGTGTTTCGGTTTGAAGGATTGTTTTTTTGGAGGATTGATTGACTTGTTTGGCATTCTATGTTGCATAAAAATATATTTTTTTTTTATTTTGACAATAGATGGTGACACCTTACAGGAGCACTTTTAATATTATTACCCAGTAGTAGGATAATCGTTTAAATTTATTTTAACAATTCACCACATTTCACCTGCGTGGTATTACCAATAGCTGCCATCTTATCTTGAGAACGCATAGGAACATAGTCCAAGCTTTTATCATACGCTGAAATTTATACAGACGCTTAGCGCCGTCTGTACTATCAAGTGCCGAGCTATTGGTAGCCATTTTGTAGTTATGCAGTATTATAATAACTTGAGAGATTAAAATTAACAGTATTTTTATTAATTTTCATTTCACCATACGTTTCTCACATAGACCCCCATAATGAACGACCCTGAATCACTTGTGTAACGCCACTGACTCCTTGCAATATATTTGAAATGGTTACTTCATCTAGTATATATATCTATATATATTTTTTTATAATTGTGTCCTAAATCCTGAACGTAAATGATAACTAAAAACGAAACAAATAACAACAGAAAAAAAATAACAAACAAATTACTTAAATATTATCTTTCATCCTTTAAAATATGTATCCTGCCTAGATTTACCCCCTTATTTATAAAAAAATAAACCTGCTACAAATCTACTTTAACTATTATACTGTTTTTTTCACATTCATTCAAATTTAGAATTTAGCACAAAGGAAAACGGTAAAACAGTTCAATAGCTAAAACAGGCTTATAATAAGCGGTCGAAATGATTTTTTTTTTTATACAACTTAGAATGGCAAACAAGCTGACGGCTCACCTGATGTAAAGTGATAACCGTCTCCTATAGACATGAGCAGTTTTATAGACATAACAGACTATGCTGTTTCGCCCATGATACCTCCCATGGGTTGCCATTTCTGAGAACTCAGGTGTTATTCCTCTGTACCCAGTAAATTCACGCCATATCCCACCCTTCAAACCGAAACACAGCCATGCAAACAAAACTGCTTTACGGTTGAAACACGAATGGTACAGAGGTACCCAAGCAAACGACTTTTGTACAGTCTCCCTCTGGTAAAATGAAATGAAATTAATTCCATTTAATTTTATTTCATATGAGAGGTTTCACGTGTTTATGAATAAGGGTGAAGTAAGAATAATATAAACTGTGATATGAACAAACGTTATCGTAATCATAACTTGAGTACGTATTGGTACAGAGTCCAAAGCTTTATCAGAAGATTAAAATTTACTAGCGCTCAGTTGTCTTTTGTTTATCAGGCGTCGTGTACCGAATTAGCCTTGGCCTCTTCCTGAGGCTTTTATACTAGGCATAGAAATTATTGCTATATCTAATAAATTATCACAGTGATATCAACTGTGACAAATGATAAATGTGATTTTCGTTCGCACTGAATTAATGTCGCAGCGCTGCTATTTGCAAATAAAAGTGAATTATGAATTCTCATTTTTTCGATAAGAGCGTGTAAATAAAGACTTAAGCGCAGTCTGATAAAGTCTTTATTTGCTGGCAATGTATGGCTTAATCGGCCCATTGATGCGATTTCATTTCAGAGCTAATTGTGCATAGCCAATCAATAACGAATATTTACGAACACTGTGACAACCTGCGATTTCATGTACTGTTATTTATAGCATTTTTTTCAACACGTTTCTTATTTTCTTTATTTACATTTTTTGACATAAAATAATGCATTTTATTCCAGTACCCTATGTCTCTTGTTACCGTGAAAAATTGTTTACAAAAACCTAAAAAGCATAAAGTTATGTTTAAGATATTTCCAATGTTCGTTGTTTATGTAGGCCCTTGTGTCGTGTAGTGAGTTTACATTAGTAGCATTAGATAATAAGTTACATAACTACAGTTACACATGCGAAACAATACAACAATAGATGTTATCTTATGTACTCACACAATTAACATTTTTTATGTACCTACTGCGTGTTGCATCAAGGTATTTTTTACATTACCTTACCGGGGCTGCCGGCAGCTATATTAAGTATGAAAAGAGCAATGTTATTTATTTAAATTTATTATTTTTTTTAAACTTATTGTTTTTTAAAACCTGTTCTTTTTTAAACTTGTTTTATTTTTTTTTAACTTATTCTTTTTTAATGCGATTTTTATATGCAAGAGAAATGTTATTAAAAATATCTGAGTGTTAGATTTCTATTTGTGTTTATTATACCCATCTAAAAAACATATATTATACTATATTTACTATAATTTCAGGAGAATATGAAATGTACTTGCAAACGTAAGTTGTTATTCATATATACGCGTACCTACATACATACAAAAGATTATACGTACATACGTACATACATTCATACGTACAATACAAATGTATGTTGATATTTATCCAGTATTCATACATGTAAAAGTATGTATGGCTTCGGCCATACAAATATATCGTCATAGTCGTAGAATACTGACGGATCTGACGAATATTACATATAAAGATCCGTCAGTATTCTACGACTATGACGATATGTAGGTATTCATATTTTCCTGTGTTAATTCCCTGATATATCCATCATTATATTAAACCTTATTCATCGTTTAAATAAAACAAAAGAAAAAACTAATCATATTTTAGTGCAAATAATCATATCTTAATTACTCGTACCTTGGATTCGACGTAATAAGCGTTTAGATAAGTATAGTTATTATTAGTTGATAGATAATATATATTTTGTATTGATATTCTGTTGCCTTTATCAATAATACATGTTTTGCCTTATCTAATCTATCTACTACATAATATACTACTTGTAACATACGATATGTATGTACTTTATGTTAATTAAAAGTTTATACATACCCAATAATCTAAATTCTGGTGATATTTTTTATGCTCGCTGTCTTGGGATTGCAAACAAGCTGACGGCCCACCTGATGGAAAGTGGTAACCATCGCCTATAGACATGGTTAACAACATAACAATATACATTCTATTGTATAAAAAAGCCATTTGATGAAATTCATCATACACTTATAGTATATTTTTTTCGATTTTTAATGGGTTTTTAAAAATGGTCTGGAATGGTGAAGTCCACCTGAGACTTTGAGATGTTTGTTCAAGATTTTAAATGGCCTTATTTTGATACCTGACGTTGTTCGTGTTATACGCTTGATAGTACCATTGTGTTTCAATATTAGACCTGCTGTAGTTAACACATTTTCAAGGGTCGAGATATGGCGTGAATGTTATCATCGTATGATAAAGATGACCATGATGTCGACATCTTTGGTAGTCCTTTAGGAATGGCATTAATAATATGGATTGGTAGTTGTTAGTTAGGGCGAAACTAATTGTATAATTGTTGTTAGTGTACATTGACGCTTATCTGTCTGTTACCAATTTATGTTCATATAGCAGGTGGGCCGTCAGGAGTTGATTTTTTTTCTCAAACTTAGATTTAAATTTTGTAAAGTAGTTTTTCTCTTTTTGATGATAACATTGTATATTGTCTAGCTTAATGTATATTTTTTGTCTTTTATAAAAAAATCTAAATAAATGATGGAGTTCTGAAGTAATAAACAAAGGAAAATATAACTACATTTTTGTGTAGATTACTACAATAATGTACTATAAAATTTCCAGAACAACATATACTTCAGGCAAGGGTATGGTCTCACTGAGACGTGCGGTTCCTTCTCGGTGGCCAGAAAGACGGACAGAAACCATGCGTCCGTTGGCTACGTGCTCTCCAACTGCCAAGCTAAAATCGCCGACATGGAAACCCACCAAGCGTTGGGCCCAGGGAAAGTAAGTAAAAAAAGTTATATAACACATGCATCAATCACATGCAATCACATCAGCCATTAATTGTCACTTTTGGACATATCACCATAGGGACTTTGTACAAAAGCCACGCTTGGAAGCTGCTGTCCATTTGTCATATAATTACATGATATAATTATATTGGGGGGAAAGGTTTTTTTTTATGGATGATAATGGAATGGTAACCCCACCTGTGCTAACGGTATACGTTGGTGGGTTACCAGTGAGGGATGATGGTAAAAATGAAAAGACAGGGTACATCGTAACGAATACAACTGGAATTAAGCACAATGGTTTCCAGGGACGGGGGACCATATGGAGGTCGACCTGCCAGAGTATATTGCTAGCAATAGAGCTCTTAGTCTCCATTACTGTACTCCAGTACTGCTCATGTCTATAGGCGACGGTTACCACTTTCTATCAGATGGGCCGACAGCTTGTTTGCCATTCTAAGTTGCATAAAAAAACATCAGCCGTTAATTGTCCATTGCTGGACATAGGTCTTCCTTTCCGGCCTTTTCCCCACCGACGATATAGTAATCATGATGGAATTCCTGGAGGGCTTGAACACTATGCTCAATGATTTCAAGTGTTCAATAGTTTTTCTATAATTGAGGGTTGGGGGGGGGGGGAATTGTTATTAATGGGGTTTAACAGCCCCATTGCTACTACATTACAATATACCCTATCAAGTCGACCTCCACGTCGTTTTATGGTAGTTAGTTCTTGTGGAATTCATTACGATGGGCTAACTGAGCTGTTTTCATTCTCAGCTATCAACCTTCACTGATGCCCCACTGATGGCGCGGGCGGGGTTACCATTTCGTTTTCACCCATAAAAAGAAAACAATTATATTTGAGAACTTTATTTATTTACAGGAGGGCGAACTCTGGGTACGCGGTCCGAACGTCATGTCCGGATATTACAAGAACGAGGAAGCGACCAAAAGCGATTTCACGGACGACGGCTGGTACAAGACTGGCGACATCGCCAAATACGATGAAAACAATTATTTGTATGTCACTGATAGATTGAAGGAACTTATTAAGGTGAGAAAAGGGTTGTTGGTCCAAACAAAACGTCTTCGAACGTAATAGATAGCCATTATATTGACTCGGCCCTCGGCAACATGTTTATGTAACTTATAAACAAAACGTTAGTGCAGATTCGTTTATTGTACTCTTTACCATACAGTATTGAGTGTATTATTTGTCAATAAAAAAAATGAATTACTGTCGTGTAAAGTATGAAGCGATACATGGCAACACCGAAACTACCCACGGATTAGTCCACTTACTTTAAAAAAACAAACTTCCTTTACGTTTCAACGGATTACTTTCAAAATTTGGATTGGATCGAGACAACGGCTCTTTCATCAAAAAATTTATTTTTATAACATTTCTCAAATAAAGACGAAGAGTCAATCTTCTTTATATCAAATTGACCTCATACCATCTGTTGAAGACTTCAGCACATAACACCTACCATTCCTAATTAAATAAAGTATTCATATATTATTATCTGAACTTACAAGTATTACTCTCTTCTATAGCCGTGTGGTTCCGGCATAGAACGAAACACCCCTTCCTTTCCAGTGGGTGTCGTAAGACGCGACTAAGGGAACTTAATGGTCAAGAGATGACCAGCAGCGACCCCTCTTAAAATATCACAAAGCCTGCCCACCAGCCAAGCGTAACAATTCCTGGCAATATTTCCCTCATGGGGAGGGAGGAGATTCAGCAGTAGACAGTAAACGGCTGATATGATGATGATAATTACTCCTCTCCATCCAAAGGTTGCCTGGAAGAGATCGCTTTTAGCGATAAGGTCGCCCATTGTTTTCTCATTGTGATTATTTCTTGTAATTGTTTATATTTATAACAAGTTTACTATTGTAATCTTTTGGAGGAAACAATAAAGAGTATCTATCTATCCATTAATCTACTAATTACCCTCTTTTCATCAGCAGTTATCTAAAAAGATAGAGTAACTTAAATATTTTGTCATTTTCAGGTCAAAGGTTACCAAGTACCACCAGCGGAATTGGAGACGGTCATCAGAACTCATCCTAAAGTCGCCGACTGCGCGGTTTTGGGCGTCAAAGACCCAGCCACAGGGGAGGCGCCCAAAGCATTCTTCGTTCCTCAACCGGGTCAAAGTCTGACACCAGAAGAACTGATGGCATTCGTCAACAGTAAAGTCACATCGTACAAACAGATAAAACAGGCGCAAATAGTCGACGAAATACCCAAAAATCCCGGCGGTAAGATATTAAAGAGAGTGCTGAAAGAAAAGTATTGTTAAGAGAAATGGATTTTATATTTGTGTACACTATTTGATACAAGATGAATGACTTGATATTGACGGTAAACCGCAAAGATCTCCTAACTGACACTGACAAAAATTTACAAAAGATAGAAAATATCCTAATTTCAATTTTATTCCATACATAAATATATATCAGTCACGCTTGTCTCTCATTAGAGTAAGCAGAAACAATTGAATGTCAAATGCTTTGATTCAAAACAAATGCAGATTCTCCATTGTGGATACGATGGGCATTTCCATAATCCTAATAGACTTTTCATGGTTTGTTGAGGTTGAAAGGCTGATGATATTATATCCAATGCCATAATACTTTTATAACGTTTATGAGTGAACAAACTAATATTTTACAGGTTTGTTAATTCACTAGTGTTCGCCCTTTGGCTCTGCCCATGTAGAACTATACACTGTACAAAGTCTTGGTCAGGGCGTTCATATATTTTATAAACATATTTGTAGAAATGCACTATTTCGATCATGAGTTTAAACTCTCATACTTGGTCGATTTTTGGATGGTTGTGCATACACGGTCATCAGTTACGGAGATTTCAAATTTGGCCCTTCTTCAGCACGTCGCCTATTTGGTCGACATACGTCCGTCTAGGGCGACCCCTACTAACATCTCCATCTATTCGTGCTCGAAAAATCTCTTTCTTAAAGTGATGAAACCATAAAGTAAAATAGTCGGTTTTAATATCTATTCTCAATATATTGGATATACAGAATTATTCCTCTATGGAACATGAAATGTGAGATATAAAATTAATGAGAAATTTTTTACAATTAATGCCAGTTAGAAGGTTTTGGTGGTTAACCGTCCATATTGAAACTTGCATGGAACTTTTTATATGTAAAATTTAAACGCGCAATTAAAATCATAGTTAAGTTACACCCTACAATATTATATAAGTATGAATTTCCTAAGTGTGCCTTTATTGTAATGTATCAAGACTGAGGTGTTTTTTTTATAAATAATATTTAATTATTTTATATTCCATATTATTATATCAAATGTTTAGTAATTTTATACGAAAATATATTATCGAATCTAATTTATATATCTGTGAAATGCTGTATCATCATATCGTCATAGTCGTAGAATACTGACGGATCTGACAAAGATTACATATAAAGATCCGTCAGTATTCTACGACTGTGACGATATCAGCCATTTTATCCACTGCTAAACATGAGCCTCCCCTATGGATTGTATATAGTAGTCAACATTATTTATTTTTATATATATAATTATAATATATATATATATATATATATATATATATATATATATATATATATATATATATATATATATATATATATAATAGTAAATATAATATAAATATAAGTAGTATATAAGTTATATATATATATATATAATTCTATATAATTTATCTATCATATTAAATTCAGTATACATTTTTATAAGTACACATATTATTGACAATGTTGATGTTGTAAATAATCAAGTTGTTTTGATATAGTGAAGTTATACATCGTGTTGGGGCTGATATGGATGGCCGTGGCCTAGTGTTCAGATCAGTGGTTCTCAAACATTGATACACAAACAGTCTGTAGTAGAGGTAAATTAAATTACTAGTATGATAGACCTATTTTTTTTCAACTTGTAAAAAGTATGTATTTTAGTTTTTTTTTTTTTTTAATTTATAATAGAATTAATAAAGCCAAAAATAAAATATTATAAACGTGAATGTGATTACGTTTGAATCTTGAATGGTTAGTCAGTCATACAAACAGCTGAACGCAACGAATGATTGAATTGAACAAAGTTTGTTACATAGATGGCTCGTATCTTGAACTAACACATAGGATATTTATATTATAACTAGCTGTATCCCGCGGCTTTCCCCGCGTGAATCAGTATACGAGTATATATTGCTATGTGCTAAATTCGGATATAACCGTTCAGTATTTTTGCGTGAATGAGTAACAGACATACATTTTAACAGACTTTCACATTTATTATAGTACTAGAATATATACGGGTTGTTACACCTGGGCTCAAATATTATTGTGACTTTATTGTTAAAAAGATTTGATTTAAATTTATATTTTTTGTGCAACCTTGGCTCTTGGATTAAAGCGCAAAGAGTTTGAGAACCACTGGTTCACATGACATATTTTGGTATGGTTTAGTTAATTTCTTATTGACTTCAACTAAAAATAATGTTTATATTATATTTTAAATTGAAAATGTTACAAGTTTTATTGTTAAGTAAGTTAATTGTTTTTTTTTATTAGTAAACAAATATCTCAAAAAATTGAGTAGTCTAAATGTGACAGAGTGAATAGGTGATCAAGTGGCTAACGAGTCTGTATGAAGATGATGAATTCTGAATTCCCTCTGAGACGGATCTGCGAACCTACTTAGGATTTACCAGTGACACAGTGACACTACGATGCAAGATAATTGATCATAGATTGTATGAGTTTTTAAATGTGGATTTGGGGTACAAGTGAGTGAAGGTGAGGTGAGGATGAAGGTGAGGTGAGGTTGAAGGTGAGGTGAGGATGAAGGTGAGGTGAGGATGAAGATGAGGTGGGGATGAAGATGAGGTGGGGATGAAGGTGAGGTGAGGATGAAGGTGAGGTGGGGATGAAGGTGAGGTGGGGATGAAGGTGAGGTGAGGATGAAGTCAGGTCAGTTACCCTCACGTGACAAATTCACTGGGGATGCTTCACGTAAGATTTCTTAAGGGTCGGCATTGCGCGCTTGATATCCCTGATGTTATAGGCGTTCATAGGCTACGGTAACCCCGTTTACCATCAGACGGGTCGTATGCTTGTCTGCCACTATAGTAGTATAAAAAAAATACGATATATTCATATTTTTTACGTGCATATTTTATTTCATCACAAATTTTTATACGTTAAAAAGTACAGAGTTTAAGTGTGTAGTGATATATCTAGGTTAAAATACAAAATAGTTGCATTATTTACAAATTTTTACACGTAACAAAGTTCTGGTCATTTTTTAATTTGCTGATATTAGTTGCAAGGGAATTTTGTAATTTTTTATCATTAACTAGCTAACTTTAAGCTCACTATTTCATAAGCTTAGATTTCAGATATAAAACCAATGAAATTGACTACTGTTAGATGACAAATCATGGAACAATATACACCAGATTTTAAGCTAGTTCTTCGCGACCTCTAAGCAAGACCTCTAATATAAATTTTTCCTTAACATATAGATATATTAATTTTATTATATTAACAAGATTTTAATTATGCTGTTAATTTTATTCATTATGTTTATTAAAATCATAACATCGTTTTTATTCTCCACTGATTAAGGTGAATTTTTAACATTAATAAATCTATTTTTATATAAAGAGAGTAGGATTTTTTTAACAGTAACCCGCCTTTCTACTTACGAATTTCGACCTTGTGAAATAGTTGATAAATATGAATTTATTTTTACAAGGTACGACCAGTGTAATTTTTGCCAAAATAGAATTCTAGTAACGTATGAGGGGTGTGGACAGAACGGTGTGCTTGTTTGTGATGGTAGCTTTTCCCATGACTGTACCCATCAGTATTTTGCATCAGATGGGTCCTCAGTGTGTTTACCAGTCAAGTTTACTTTTAATTTTTAAGTATGAAAACATTAGATATATCTAACAGAAGATGGTTTTTATTGAGGGGTGCCAAAAAGAAAAAAATATTTTTTTTTTAAAGTTTTCGACATCAGTTAAAAGTGCTTTATATTTTTTTAATTAATTATTTAAAGGTCTCTCGATAAAAGGTGTCTTTTATTAAATTTGATTTGTAAATGAGTAACAAAGCTACTGTTCTTATGTTTTGATGTTATATTTTTAATGTAAAAGTGTTATAGTAAGATAGAAGGACAGACGAACAAATCTTGTCACAAATATTTGATAGTACTGCCAATTCTAGTATTCGACATTTTGTATAAATAGACAACCTCAAATTGACTGTCAAATCTCTAGTATTTGTATGTAAAAAAAAAAGTAGATACGTTATGTCAAGAAGTGAACATTATACAGCATTATAATAAAAATTAAGACGTGAATTATATATTAAAGTATTTTTATATTTAATGTTCGTATTTGTTTTTGTTGTATCTTCTTCAAAGGGGGTTTTAATTATACAATAATAAAGGTAATTGTTGTTACAAAGTGTTTTATTTTTAATAACTATATACAATCAAACAAAAAGCAATAATTTTGTTCAATAACAATGAACAAAAACATGTACATATTATTTCGTTATTGTAAACCAGAGGGACACTTTGTACAGAAGTCGTTTCCTTGCCCACCTCTGTGCCATTAGTGTTTCTACCGTTAAGCAGTTATGTTTGCATGGCTGTTTTGGTTTGAGGAATAACACCTGAGTCCTCACGAATGGCAACAACGCATGGGGGTATTATAGGCGAAACAATACGTTATGTCTGTTATGTCCATGGTATTGCTCATGTCTATAGGCCACGGTTACCACTTTCCGTCAGGTGGGCTGTTAGCTTATTAGACATTCTAAGTTTCATATAAAATACTTTTTTTCTTTTGTTTCGTTAGGAACAAAAGAAAAAAAGTGTTTTTTTTTCACAATACATGCACGTCAATACACGGCATTTTATTTTTATTTCAATTTTATTCTTCAGCATCAAAATTCTAGAATTTTGATAAAAAGAATTGTCCAAATCAGTTTAGAATTGACGGAGATATGTGGTAAAAAAAATACAATTAAATTGAGAATTTACTTTTGAATGTAGTAGGAAAGACGAATACTTAAGCCAGTCATCTAAAAGTATATAGGTATAAACATTGGTTCTTTGCGAGAGGTGTCATGGTGAAAATGTGATAGCACCATTGATATAGTATAACTTACTACGTACTTATATAAACTTTAGGATAGCACAGAGTACTTTCCACTATGCACTGTGATTTTTTTTTCATAGATGACAATGATATGGTAAATCCTCCTGCGCTATTGGTATACGCTGGTAGACTTCTAGTGAGATTATAGGTCATTATATATGAATCTAGGTCAGTTGGCCTGTTGTGACGAGTTCATCAATAATTAACCACGAATTACGGGAACCGTGGGAAATCAACCTGCTAGAGTTTATTTATTGGACACATAAAACTGATCATAATCATAAAAAACTTATGCTAGGTTACAATCCAATTGCATTAAGAGCACAGCTTGAGTAATCCATGTAAAAACAAGTTGCAACAGAATGTGCAAGTCACACGAGCACATTAAAAATGTACAGAAAGTGCTATATAAATCTATAAAAGATAAAACTACAAAGAAATAATTCTATGTGTTCAATTAGTTACGAGCATATTTCACAAAACAGAGAAAAGTGTTTTTTTTTAAGAGTAAATATTGTAGTGAAGTGGAGTCTGGAGGCCATCCATCGAGATACGATGGATGGCCTTTCTAGACTCCATCACTAACAAATCTTTTCCACCCCATGCTTTGGTGCTAGTATAGTATTATATTATCTGTGGCTATAGTGAATATGGTCACGTTTTACCTAAAATATTTCAACTTAGCCAACTTTTGCAGCGAGCTTACGCGGTCTCTTTGTGATTATTTCTTGTAATTGTTTATATTTATAATAAGTTTACTATTGTAATCTTTTGGAGGAAACAATAAAGAGTATCTATCTATCTATCTATCTATCTCTTAAACTAATTTATTTGTTGATGAGTTTTTCCATCATTTTACATTATGTTGAGCTCTTTTTTCTATCTTTTTTAGTATTATTATTTGTCTGCTATGTTTTGACCAGACAATTTTAATTATACCTCTCCATTCTAATGTTGCTTGTAAGAGATCGCTATTTATAGTTTTGCTCTTTATCTTGCTTTTATGTAATTATTAGAATAGACATGAGATCTTAAAGTGTTTATTGTTGGGATCTTAGATTATAGATAGAGTGTCTCCATACAAAAGCTTCGAGAAAAGTGGGTTAACTTTTTATAGAATTTTGCGTGATAAATAGTTATGTTTCCTTCACAACTTCATATTTATTCTGTTTTATAATTTTTGCGTCTTTTTAATAATAATAATAAACTTTTTAATGCGCACAGTAGATATGTATACAAGGTGTATTTATACAGAATGTGCATATACAAAAGGCGGCCTTATCGCTAAAAGTAATCTCTTACAGATAACCTGGCATAAATAATGGATAAGTACAGAGAGAAAGGTAGATGGCGCAAGTCAGACACAGTAAATACATAAAAAGAATCAAACAAAATGCAAAATATTCTAAATATAAAAATAAAATTACAATACATAAATATACATATATAATATAAATAATAATACATAGACATAAATACATTAATATACTAAATAGATCAAAGTAAATCACAAATAGTAAACGTCAAAACAAATAAGAGAGATAGGTAACATAATGAGATTTTAGCAGCCTCTTGAACGAGGCAAGAGATTGTGCTGATCTAATAGAAAGAGGTAAGGAGTTCCAGAGACGGATAGTTTGGATAGTGAAAGAATAGGAATAGAATTTAGACGAATGATGTTTTTAATGTGTAAAAACTAATTTTATTTATTAAATAATTAAATATACATACGTCAATATACTTATGTGCGTAAATATACAGAACACTTTCGTAATTTACATATCCTATCTCTCCTTTACGCGATTCTTTTTAACCCCATTGTTCCTGATTATCTTAAAGACCGATTTGTGTTTCTTAGTGAGGCCAATGGCCAAACTTCACGCAGTGTCAATAATCTCCGTCTCAAATTTCCAACTCACTCCACTTCCTTTTATTCCAATTCCTTTACTGTACAGGCAGTTCGTCTGTGGAACTCACTACCTACCTCTATACGGTGCGCTCAATCTCTCGCTAATTTCAAAACCTCTGTTAAAGCCCATTATCTCTCCCTTTAAGTAACTATTTTTTCCCATGTTCTATCTTCATCTTCCAGTGTCACTCTCTCCTGTTGTATGTGTACTTTTAAGTTTGTGTATGTTTATGTATGTATTTGTTTATGTATATATATGTATATACATGTATATGTATATATCTTTGTATATATTTGTTTATATATAATTAGTACTAATATAATAGTGCGCCACCTACCCTTTATTTTTCTTTGTTTTCTCAATGTTCTCTACCCAAAGGTTGTCTGGAAGAGATTGCTTAGCGATAAGACCGCCTTTTGTATCATTTCTTATTACAGTTAAATGTGTTTACTATTCTATAAATGGTGCAATAAAGTGTACATAAAACACTGATAAAAAACGATTCAGCTTACTGTCAAAAAAAGTTGACCTGTTTTTGAGATTCGATGCTTTATATAATCTAAGGTTGGGATATTTGTCATTGTTAACTATAGTGCACGTAATTTTAGACATAGTACATTTAAATACACATAGTGGAGATTTAAAAGAGTTACTATTGAGTTTAATGCGGGTTCTTCTCAGCTGAGGGAGACTTTGTACAAAAGTCGTTTGCTTGGGTACCTCTGTCTCATTCGTGTATCTACCGTGTAGCAGTTGTGTTTGCATGGCTGTGTTTGTTTGTATTATAATGGCTGTGTTTGTTTGTGTTTGTTAGTATAGTATATTTTGCTTTAGTTTTTTTTAGTGGATGATAATAGAATGGTAACCCCACCCGTGCTATCGGTATACACCGGCGGGGCACCAGTGAAGGATGATAGGCGAAGATGTAGCAGGTCAGTTAGTTAGCCCATCGTCACAAAATCAACAAGAATTGTTCACGATGGTTTTCAGAGGAAATCACTTCGACCTAATAGGGCATATTGCTAGCAATGGCACTGTCAAACTCCACTGCTAAGAATTCCTTTCCCCCTGGCAACTATAGTTAGGCTTTGGTGGTGTTTAAAGAGGGACGCTGCTGCCTATCTCTAGACCATTAAGTACATGAGTATTTTCCATAGATTGATGGATTTTCTTACGACACCCATGGAAATGGAAGGGGTAGCCCATTCTATGCCGGGACCATACGGCGATATCCATTACTTTCTTCCAACTCTTGTACAAAATATTTCTGTTTGTTTTATGATGTTACGAGATATTTACTTCGTATTGGTACTTAGAGTCAAGATTTCACTGTAATATCAAATTTTAATTTAAGACATAGGTACCTTCATATTTATAAAAATGTCAATTTTCTTATTATCCTATTTTAGCTAATAAAACTGTTTTGTCTCTTATGTTCAAAATTCTCAGTTTGAAAGAAAGTGCCAAAAAACTATAATAGTTAAAAAAGGTTTGTAGGAGGTTATACTTTTTTTTATTAATAAAGGGGTAAACTCTATGTTTTTTTATAGTTATTGATTTGGAACGTAATTTTCTAAATTTTAGATAACGGTGCTCAACATTGATCCCTATGTTATTGCTATTTCACACCCTGTATTACGGTATTTTTTGTGTTAAGCAATTTAGTCGATATTTTGGAACCGATTTTAATAAAATCTTTTTTTTTTTTATAAGAAATTGGATTTCAATCGCGACAAAATTTTTATGTGACCAGCATATGATTCCAATCGATTGCATAATACTTTAATACTAAGTCTACGAAAAATAATCATTCATATCGATACAGAACCGGAGAAGATATTGCGTTACTTGAAAATACGATTTTAACTGTTTCGTTTTTAAAGTTATTTCAAAGGCGTAACACATAAATAAAATAAATAGATACACTTATAAACATGCAAAAATATTTATCCATCTACCTACCTAGATAAACAAACGTACGTTTAGATAAAACGTTTTATATTTTTGAATAAGGCCGCAACAATGTACCCACTAGGAAATAACGCGGACGATTCTGAAGTGTCACATCTTTAAATAAGTTTACTCTAAACCTAACAATTTAATTTGACTTTTTCGCAAAATTACTGATTTGTGTACCACCATAAATTATAATTATAATATTTTATTAAAATATATTAGAAATTCAGTTCATATTAATTATTACAATAAGGATATCAAATCGAAATATAAATTTTAGAGAAAGCATTAGAAAAATGGCGCTTCAGAAACGACCGCAATGTTTCTATGCAGTTTAGATGCTTGACTAAGTAGCCAAGGACGGTTTACTTTTAGATTGTGGTGTGATTTATAGAAAATATAATAAAAAAAATATCTAAATACGAAATAAAACTAAGTACGTACCGATTTACATATCTGCTTATTTAATTTTATATTTATTATAGAGATTAATTGGACTTTGGATTTCATAATCGATCTGTAATAATAAAACTTATCATCTCCTGCACGAAGCGTGTAAGTACATAATAGTCATGTTATGCGGCAGTTCTCGTTTTCTTAGTAGTACGTCAACCGTTGCGAATACAGCGCGCAAAATGAACGGGATTCCACGGCGGATGTTTTGGCGCGAAATTAAAAGAACCAAATGGCAAAGGAAATTCTCCACAAGTACGAGTGTGGCGAACAATGAGTTCCTAGTAAAATCAACGTTGCCCGATATTGTTATACCGAAAATGAGTTTCACTGAACGGTTATGGATAGATCAAGCAAATTTCAAAAATCTTGTTGCATTGGTAAGTACGTGCCTAACTTTTTTATACTTTATTTTATGATCACTATGAAATAATGTAGGCAAATATAATAGGTACCAATTATACAAGTGCATTATCTACTTATAATGCATGTAGGTATGTCTACCGTCTTTATTTTATTCACTGAATTTTTAAAATAGCATGTAATTATATTACTAATTTAATTGTAACTAAACGAAGTCTAGATATGCAATAATTAATATGAGGGGTCTTAATAAAGACGATAGAAGCAAAAATAATATTTTTTAGTAATTTTATCCGTTTGTTTCTATCTGTGTGTTTGTTTTAACATAACGCTAAAATAACTGCATCAAATTGGATGCGATTTTTACATTTGTGTTACTAAAGGTATAATTTAAATTCTGCTGTATTTTTCATCTTGATAGGACGTATAAAAATGGTATATTTAATTGATTTTCCTACTTCAGAAAGATAGTTTAATATAATTAGGATTTTGTACAACTAAAACCTTCGATTGAACCATGTCAAAAGCCATTAGATTAAAATTAGTTTTTATTATCTTAGCATCGACAATTTACTAATTTTTTTTCAAATAGACGGTCATATTTTTTAATAACATTTGTAGTAGGTAAAGACTAACTTTGTAAATAAAAAAAAAAAAAATTCCAGCGCTGATATAATTCTCGGTAATTATAGACTTATGTGCTAATAAATAAATTTCATTTCAATTTAAAAAATGTGATTTACCTGATAAAAAAAATATCAATTATGTTATGTCCATGGTACTGCTCATATATATAGGCGACGGTTACCACTTTCCATCAGGTGGGCCGTCAGCTTGTTTGCCATTCTAAGTTGTATAAATAAAATTTAAATGTGGCAGAATAAGATTGGACTATTATTTTCTTCTAATGTAACAACTACTAAAATGTATTTTATTCTAGCAAATATATATATTCATTTAGTATTCTAATTCTAAAAAATTGATACAACCGAATTGAGAACTTTTTTCTTTTTAGTCTGTTGAAATGAAACATTTTGGTTTTTTTTTTTTTCTTTACCGTTTTCTTTTCTGTTTCACCTATATATTACTTAATAAATGTTTACATTACTTCATAAAACGTTTCTCCTACACTAATTAAAAAATAAGGATAAACTTAAAGGAAAAATTAAGTGATTTTACGTAATAACTATAACCGTTCACAAAAAGGGCGTAATAAGGGTTCTTAAAGGTCGGCAACGCGCACGTGACATCTTTTCTGTCGTTGGCTGCGGTAAACTCATTTACCATTAGACGGCTGTATGCTTGTCCGCCATGACAGTATGAGTAGTATAAAAAAAAAATAACGTATAACCTACTTGATAATCTTGTTTCTTACTCGCTCATTGTTTTTATTTATGCACTAGCGATTCTGTTTGGCTTCGTATTTGGATAAAATTTTCGATAATAATATAAAAATACATATTAATCGCTGACAATGTAGCTTTTATTGGTGAAAGAATTTTTAAAATTAATTAGTTTTTTAGTTTATTTATCACAAACAAACGACAAGATATTTATTTGCTGTGTCGTCCTCACATTGAATGGGTCACATCTTTCTTTCCCGTGGGTGTCGTAAAAGGCGACTATGGAGGACGAGGGATGGGCAGCAGTGTCCCTTTTAAAACATCACCAAAGCCTAACTGCTATTTATTTATTTATTTATAATATCACTAGCTTTTGCTCGTGACTTCGTCTGCGTGACCGAAATATAAAGTAGCCTATATCTTTCTCCATCCCATGTAGTGCATATATATATAAATTTATAGTAATTGTTCAAACCGTTAAAATGCTATAAGATAATAAATAAACAAACACATTTTCACGGGGGGAAAGGGATTGTTAGCAATGGAGTTTGACAGCGCCATTATTATTATATATTATTAGGTCGACCTCCACGTCGTTCCCCCTGGAAACCATCGTGAACAATTCTTTTTGAATTCGTCACGATGGGCTAACTGACCTACTTCATCCTCACCTATCATTACAGATGGGCAAAGCACCGGGTTTAAACCCGGTGCTTTGGTAAAAACCCAATAAACACCCATAAACTCCCATAATCACCCAAAAAAATAGGTTTTTACGTATTTTTTTGAAAATATGTAAGTAATACCAATAAATTATTTTTATAAATTGTATTGATCAATTCTACAATATTAAATAAAACGTTAACTAATAATATTTCAGGAAATTTTAAAAATCTATTTATAATAAAATGAAAGTAATTAATTTTCAGTGTTTTCATGTTGCAGTTGATCAACATGTTGGCCTTTTGCTTCCCGTAGATACTTTAAAATTTCTTCATAACACCTCGTTCGCACACATGGCCGTATATATTTAAATTCTTGAGCCACTAACAGTCCGAAATACTCATTTCTTTTATCCTCTTCTCCATAAATTAAGCATTTAGAACAGTTTGTTTCTTCTTTCAGTAAATTTTCTTTTACTTTATCCTCGTTTTTTTCTTTGTTGCGACGACGCTGGGTAAATCATCTGGACACTGGGTCTCACTATCGCCAAATATATTTGGAGATCGGCTTCGGCTACGGCTTGGCAGACATTTTTTTCTTTCTACAATTTTAAATTAAATTTATTAGAATAAATGCTTCGAACACACGCGATCTAAGTACCTTTTGTGTTTATTATACCTTACCTACCTAGGTATAAAAAGAGTACTTACGTAGATTTTCTTTATTAACTGTTTTATACGAAGATCTTGATCTCTCAAATTAGCATCCATTTTACTTCCAGTGATTATCAACTAAATTAATAATCCACAAAGTATTAAATAACGTTTTTATGAAATATTTAGCACAAAAACAATACCCTTTAAATATCGATCGTCAGTAACTGTGGCTGACTTACCTATATTCTAGCAAGCAGGACTGCCAGATGTGAAGGGGAAATCCCCAATAAATTGTTGCATGTGACTGATGATGTGAGCATGTTCGTTTCATAATAAAAATGTTGCCAGGTAACCAAAAAGTCGTATGTTTTTGTGCGAATTACGATCATAATCTTTACGATCGTACATTAAAAAATAGACAAATAATAGTATGAGTACGATTTAAATCGTATATCTGTCAACCCTGCTAGCAAGACAGCGACAAAATCACGTTGCATAACAATGTAGCCCAAGCTTATATCTTATGAAATATACGGAAGAGATACGGACTTAGAAAAAACAGAAATGTTGTTCTTTGTGGAAGTCATTGATGAAATTCTATGTATTTTAGCCCGCAAACTTTCTTCAAACAAAAACAGCGCCATCTAGTATCGAGTTCTGTAATTATCTCTTTGTTTATGGATTTGAAGTAAGACCGCCACGCATGCAATACATTATGACTGGGGATTCCCCTATTCGTCGACGCTGAATATGAGGCGACGACAATCACTGTCAAACGTGTTCACTATTACTCTGACTCTGGTAACGTGACTTCCTGGTAACGTGTTAGGTAGGAAAAGCAGTAAAAAAGTGCATATTAAGGGAGCAGATTTGAAATAATATTTATACTTAACAAGAAATAATTAAAGGTAAGTGGATTTTTGAATGATACAATTATATCATGATCACTTAACAATTTTAACTTAAAATTAGATGTATTATTACAAGCTTTTATTTAGCTTGCGTTATGTAAATAAAAGTATGTAGGTATGTTCGTATGTTGATGCAATTATCCTCAATCCTCAACCGACTGGGATAAAATTTTCCATACACGTTTATTTTGGATGATAGTGCATAGTTAGCTGAGAGTCGTCATTGGATAATAATGGTGGATAGCCTAAGATGTGTACTAGATATTTATTTTTAACATAATATGCGTAAGTACCTAATCGAATTAAAGAAGTTGCTGAGAAAAATACAGAACAATACGATAATAAACTAGCGTCTGCGTTTAATCCTCCGAGGAGATGTAATTTTACAAAGGTTTTTTGTATTTATTTTATTATTTTTTTAATAAATTTATTGTAAATAACAAGAAATAATCATTGTAAAAAAATAGGCACTCTATTGTTGAATTTTCGTCAGACCAACTAATCATCGTTCATTTTTTTAGGTTCAATGGGGAGACCTAAAGATTTACGCATATGGGAGCACTACCGTACTTTACCAAACAAGTCTGTTTCTTGCAAGCTTTGTAATAAGGTCTACAAATTCAGTAATGCTGCCAAAATGCTTCAACATCTTATCACTTGTCCAAAATCTCCAGAAACATTAAAAGACTCTATGAAACTTATAAAAGATAGCTCGTCCAAAACCAAAATGTCTGGACTGTCAGAGATAGAGACAAATGATTCTTTTATAAGCCCCTCGTCGTCTGCTAACACTACAATAAATGCTGAGTTTCAAGACACCGATGATCATATAAAAACAGAATTAGCGAGAGCTATATTTGTAACAGGGACGCCATTATCGATGGTGCAACATCCTTTATGGATACAATTTTTCGAAAAATTGCAACCAAAATTTAAAATACCTTCACGTAAAGCTTTAGCGACAAAATACTTAGATAAAATATATAGAGAAATGCGTTTTGAGTTAAATGAGGAACTAAATGCTTGTAGTTACTTACACCTTCAGTGCGATGGCTGGTCTAATTTAAGAAATGAAGGAATAATAAACTTTCTTATATCAAAACCTCAACCTGCATACGTTAAAAGTTTGAATACAGAAAGTAATCCTCACACTAGTGAATACCTTAGCCAAGAAGTTGAAAAAGTAATGAAAGTGTATGGAGCAAATAAGTTTCTTGTACTTATTGGCGATAACGCTAGAAATATACAAAAGGCATTCGAATTAACAAAACTCAAATATCCACATGTTGTTCCTCTCGGTTGCTGTGCACATATCCTTAACTTGTTGTGCCAAGATATTGTAAAGATACAAGAAGTAACTGTGTTTATTATGCAAGCCATAAATATAATAAAAACTGTTAAAAGGAGTCAACGATTAAGTTCCTTGTTGATAAAATCAAGGCAG